TCATCTTGCGTATTCTTCTACGTCACACCTCTGTGTCCAAATGATGCATCTTTGGACGTAGTTGTCACATGAGTCGCCAGTTTGCTAGTCTCTGGGCAGGAGAGAAAAAAAAACTTATTCACAGATAGACGCCTATGCAGTTTCATAGAATTTAAATGTTTTCACTGGTTTGGTCAGAAAATAAATTCATAAAATGAGCATACTACCACTGTAGTACCACAAATTATATGCACGGCTGGTCAGATAATACAAACAACATTTTTGAGCCCACAGCATCCAACCATTCATCATTTACTAGTCACTCATCTCCCATGAGGCACCCCCTGTCAGTCTGAGGACACCTGAGGGGGAGGTACAAACCAAAAAACAGTTAGTGCCTCTGACCCTGAAAATAGAGGTCATAGAGCTTTACATATTTCCCTCAGTGCAAAGAGACAAGGCCATGCAGGTGCTGCACAGAGAAATAGATCAACTTTAGCGCAGAAGCTCGGCCATATAGCTTTGGTTGATTATTGTACTGTAAACGTGCTAGCGCTAGCTCATGGATGTGCCTCATGTTGCGGCTGAGTGCAGCCATCTTGTTTCCCCAGGAATGAAATCACGCTCAAGGCAAATCATGACTCTGGCAGCACGATGTCCCCCCCCCCAATTCCAACCCTCCTCCACCCCCACTGGCTCTTTCAAAGGGGTTGTCTTTGCCCGAATGTGCTGAGAGGGGGGAGATGTTTGCTGAATTCCCCCAGAATACATTAAGCCCCTTCCCCTGCTTTTAAAGCTTACGAGACTATTATCCAGCAGCCCCCAGTAAGTTCTTATCAGTGGCAGCCAGACAGACAGCACACCAGCAATACCTCAAGACTTGTTGATCGAGCAGCGCTGGCAGAATGCCTGTCATTGTAGAGATTTTCTGTGCTTTCAGATTAGCATCTTCACTTTTTCCTCCCCCTCTATTTTATATTGCCAAGAGAAGTCTCATTAATGACTATTATGACATTGGCTGGGTTTATTTGTCAGCGTGGACAGCTTGAAGAGTTTTTAAAAAACGACAGGGAGGAAGATCTGACATGGCAAACATGGCATTTTGTCTGAGGTTTGTTTTAACATGAGTTTCTGTTTACCTATCCATGCCTTTGGCTTATTAAGCATATTTAAAGACTGTAATTAAACTCATCCTACACTGTATTTTATTATTGTTAACCCATCAGAATTAATCTAATCAGCTGCATTGGGGCAAACAACGCATCAAGGGTTGTCTGCATGATTTGTCTGACCACAAACAATAGAACATGACAGGAGTGAACTGGATACAACACTGTCCTCTAGCGCCTCTCCCCACTAGTGTTACCCTGCTGTTATCCAGTGGTCTCATGCAGTTAATAAGCACAGGGATTAGACACTAGCTTGGAGGACAAAACAAATGTCCATATGTGTTTACATTCCCAGTAAAAGGCAGAGGAAGATATGACTGTGCGATAACAAAAACTGTTGTTGACTGCTCCACCAGCCATCTGATGTCACTGCAGAAAAAGGACAAGAATAGGCATCCACCAGTACGCAGACTCTGGCCCCCACCTCAATTCTACCACAGGGGGAAATACCCATAATGCACTACTTGATGTTCTTGTATTGGATTGGCTTTGCATTGGTGCTGTGACCCACTTTACTAGCAGCGAGCAGGTTATTTTAAGTTTTCATTAGCGACAAGGCCAAAGGCAAATGAAAGGTGAAGAGGCTCAGACGCACACTCAGACCAACTGTCCATTCATTTTTAGAAATTTGGATCTCATCCGCAGAAGGTGTTTCAGTGTGTGCTTCCAAATGCAGTGGGAAATATGAATAACTCTAATGACTACTGGTTTGTATTAAGTTGTTTTAGTTATGAAGATGTCCTCTTTGGTTAGGGGAATGTATCATTTTTAAACTTGATCATGTCACTACTACTGTTCAAAACACCAGACGCTCCCTGCAGACATGCTAAAGATATAAAGCAATTTAAATAGCAGGGGGAACTTCTATGCCCTGGCCAGAGCTGCTAAACTTTAAAACCAGTCCATATTCAATTTAAATTATAAACAATTATTTGGTTTAAAATGGAAAATTTCAACCTAAGATTGGAGTAATTTAAAGAAACGTTATGAGAAATATGTTTTTTCCTTTTCTGTCTGTAGAGTAAATACAAAGCTAAGCTTAGCTTATAGCACAGAGCTTGGTAAGAAAATCCACCTATAAAATTCACAGTTACAAATTACATGTTTGTTTTTTAAAATCTGTACGACACCCCGCCCCCAAATTTTGTTCTTCTTACTTTTGTTAAACTTTACTTTTTTGGAGTCAAGCTAACAGTCCTGGCTCCAATTTGGCTTAACACAAAGACTGGGAATAAGGGAGAAACAGCAACAACAAGTCTATCTCTGTCTAAAGTTAACAAAATCTACCAGCACCTCGAATGCAAACTAATTAGCATTTCTAATTAGACTTTCTGTTTTCCGCCCATTTCTTTGCGTTAAGCTAAGCTAACTGAACCAGCTCCTACAGCTACTGGCTATAGCTTCATATATATCATACAGATGTGAAAGTGATATCAATCTTGTTATCTAACTCTCGACAAGAAAGTGAATTATTTCCCAAAATGTCAAACTATTTCGTCAAAACAAGACTGTACTTCGTTTGTCCTTAAATGAATGGAAAGTAGGTAGAGCCCAGCAGGAAAACATGCTGCTACATGTACACAAAACAAATTTATTTTTTTGATCATTACTCCTATTCAAAGCCAAATGTTATGACACACCATTAAAAAACTGTTGGACAAACAATAAGCCCAAATAGATGCCAACACAAATGGTTTCTTAATATCTTGCGATAGTCTCAGTAATTGTAACATTACACTGTTTTTTTCAAGCCAAGAACTGTTTTCCCCAGAGAGCATAAAATCAATTGCTCAAGTCTGAGCTCTTTTGCTCCACTACAAACCTTGTAATCCATTATATAATATGTCTGAGGCATGTATTACTCAGCAGGTCTGGCACACACTGCCAGTATAACAAACACAACCCCGGCCCATTTGGACTCACTCACTTCAAACACATTTTACTTGCACCATTAAGAGGGTGATTGGTGGTTATTACAAGCTACTCTCTGTGAGAATGTCCAGATGCTCTTCTTGTCAAGGTCAGGATCAAAGCTCTACGGGGTGGGGTGGGGTGATTTTGTAACCATCAGGCACAGGGAGCCTCCGCAATGACGTGGCACCTGCAACCAGGAAAGGCACAAAATGGAGTCCCAGCTGGCCCCACACTAGTGTGAGTCAAAAGGCCGGGGGAGGAGGGGAGAATGCTTCAGGCTCGATTAGGTCCACGTCCTATCTCCATCTTCAGCTATGAGCTTCATCACCTTGAGTCATTAGTGCCAAATTCACATCTGCCACGCTGGAGTATTAGCAGGTGGAGGCAGTTTTTTTAGGGAGATGCTGACCAACATGGGGTGTCCAGGCAAAATATACATCAAGGACATCCTGTGCCTTACTCTCAGTGTCCTTTTCATATGAGAAAAACTTGACTCCACGTCTCGCACTGGTGACACGGAGAGCAGAGCTGACATTTTCATGCCTCAGGAGGTGGGAAGAGGTGAGTGCAAGCAGAGAGTGATACACCAAACCTCTTCCTACCTCATGCTGCTGAGCAGACCAGCATGCACCTGTCCCCTCTGGCTGTGTATAGGCTGAGAGGAACTGTAGGTCACTCTGCTGGCAGGAAGTGTTTCTACACTCTCCGAAACACCACCAGATTTTGTTCTTGTACAAATGAGACAGAAGGAAAAGGAAGTGTGAAGAAGAGATGGATAAGCGATAGGTAATGAGAAATGACTGAATGAGTTCATAACAGAAGAGGACAGGGGGGAGGGGACAGACAGATTGGGGTGTGAGAGTGAAAGATAAGCAGATAGTCGGCGTGTGAATGAGAGTGACAGTGACAGAGTCCCATGCAAAGATAAACAGCCTGGGTGCAGCCCCTGTAATGGCTTTGCACGAGTAATTTGTCACTCCATGTGAAAAGTAAACAGCAGGGAAGGCAATGGCAACACTTCGAGGTGACACTTACCATCGCCCAAGGATGTCTTACCAAGCTTTCCCATCTGTCTACACAACTGGTGCTGCCCATTCCTCTGGTCAAGAGACAAATATGCCTCTGGGACTAGGGCCACATTTAATGCCGTATAGAGTTCTACTGCAGTGCATTTAATTTGTTATCACATTTCATCTCAAGTTACATGATTTGGTGTTGATGTAATGCTGACTTCAAGGGTCCTTTACCATCTGCTGACCTGGGATCAAGTGATTTTGAATTCCTGTCTGAAAGGTTACAGATTCAGTAGCTCTATTAAAGGTCACGTACAGTAGTATCATGTGAAAATGTGTTGATACATGCCACTTAAAAAACAAAGGCAACATAACTCACTGAAATGTCTGTATCAACAAACAAGTGTTTTCATATTTCATTTGTAGGCAGTTCAGAAACATTAACACACTTTGCAACAAATGCAGTTTGAAAATCGCTCACTTCAATTATAGCATGTGAATCACAGGATAATGGCAACAAAATTATTTTCACAAAGTCTATGAACATAAAGTTACACCTCCAGCAAGGTTCTGGTTCTGGAAATTTGACTATCCACCATTTTGGAGTGAAAGACAAGAGGAGTGATTTGTAAACATAATCTAATATGTGAGCACTGCCATCTTGTGGGTGTTTCTAACACTGCACACACATCTACTCTTAAATAATGAAGAAAATGTCCATTAGTGAAAACAGCCAAACATTATTTTCATGGCTATCAAGTACAAAATATACATTCCTAAATATTTATATGTGGGTAATAATAATAATAATAATAATCATAATAATATATTTATTTTTAGAGCACTTTTCAAAAGAATGTTACAAAGTGCTTTCACAAGAGCAAACAAAATAAAACACAGCAAACAAAATACACGGTAAAAGCAGGAAGAAAGTTATAAAATTAAAATACAGTTAAAATACAATTAATTAAAATCAACTAAAATCAGGAAAGGCTCATCTATAAAAGTATGTTTTAACAAAAGACTTAGCCGTCCTGATTTCTTGAAAAGCATATACTGAAAATAATCAATAATTTGTTCCCCTTGTAGAAATGCAAAAATGCTACATGAAACAGTTAAATCCAGCAGCTCAGACTGAGTAAAAACAAACAAAGAACATCATTTTGTGAAGGCATTATGTTTCACCCCTTCTCAATGCAATGAAATTATCATCAACCTATTAAAATGCTCTCTGCAGCGCCCCCCAGCTGCTGCAGGTGTGAATGCAACGCCCTCGGCCTTTTCCCTGAGATGGGCAGAAGCTCGCCGTTTGCTTTCATGTGGTCTATTCTCCTGGAAAGGTCAGCGTCGCTGTCAATGACCAAGGTGCACCTATGAGCGTAGCTGACCAGAGTCTCTTCTCCTTGGCGGAACATGCCCACCAAGGGCACCATGTCTTTGCCGGCCAGATGGAGCTCGGCAATCGACGCTGTGTTGGCGATGGTGTTGCGGTCGATTCCCAGATGACGGAAGGCTTCGCTCATGCTTTTCTTCTTGATGAAGGCTGACAGGACCTGTTTGTAGCGGTGGATGACATACTGGACGCCGGTGGCTGGTGGAATGAATGACAAGGCATATGCAATTAACACTGTGTACTGAAGAACATGCAGCCATTACAAACATGGACACAAAAGTACATAATGTTAAACTAAGAAATAGTGTATTTTCTTGAAATAATTTTAACTCTTACAAGCTGTCTTACTTACCAGTGGACGTTAGTAAAAACACTTTTCTTTCTTTACAATTTAATTTGAAATAGTTTAATCTCCCCACACAAGATTTAGCCTATACAATTCTCATACAAATTCTAAATTGAAGTACACGGTCTTATTCTCTGACTCTGGTGAATTTTTATTTGTATTTCGTGTACATTTTGAATCTAACTGACATCACACAATTATTACTTTTGCCGTCACAACAGTAGGATTGTTTTTTCGAAATGAATCCAGGTTCTGACTTGAATTATCTAGGAAAAGCTGAATGTGTTTACATTTACAAAATGGTCACTGAGGATATCCATTAAACCAGTTTTACTTTCTCAGTCCCTTTCTACATTTTCTGAAGGCTGAATTTGATGGGTGAGATTTTAGCCTTCATGAAGACGTTGGAGACATGATTACTACCTCTCTTCCTGCTGTAGTCCTTCCCTTTCTTCGATCTTTTCTTGTCCTTATGGTGTTTCTTCCGTCTGTGTTCACTTGAGGCCGCTGAAACTTCAGATGATTCTGACGCTTCAGAGTTGCTGTCGCTGCTGTCAGCCGAACTACAAGAAACTCTTTCTCTCTTCCGAGATTTGTTTTCTGAGTGCTGCACTTTGCTGGGTTTCGGAGCTGTGTATGATCAACAAAAATGACATGAGTACGAGCACCCAAGCAGTGTGAATATTTTAAAGGTGAGCACTGCCCAAAGCTTCACTTCAGACACTGACCTTCAGTCACTGGACTGGGTGACGCAAAAGTTGGCATGGAGCGGTTACTTGTGAGGTTTTCAATCTGGCTCCTCAGGAACTTGCGGTCCTGCATCAGGTCCTCCACCTGTCTCTCCAGCGCAGCAATGCGTTCCTGTTTGCTCTCCAGCATGCACTGGAGCTTGGTGATGGTCAGCAGCACTCTCGGGGGCAGGCTTTCTACATGCGGGGCAGCTAGAGGATGACAAGCCACGTGGAGAGCATTAAAACACACAGCTTCCAACAACAAGTTCCATAAGCTTAAATTACTTCATTGCTTTTTTATTTTTGTTTATGTTTGGTGGAGCAGATATTATAAAGGAATAATCAAAAATTTTAAAACATCAATAAATATTTACAATTATCTAGAGTATTCTAAAAAAAAAGACAATTGCCAAAGCCTAAAGCCAAAAACAACATTTTATAGTGTGTTTCGATAGGCAAAAGGAAGCAATGCAATTGGTATAAAAAAGGAAGTTGCCGCTTTTGGCAGATGAGGTTCAGTGGCCTGTACTACGAAGCGGGGTAACTGGCTTATCCAGGTAACTTCAGGAGTGACTTTGTGACGTCGGGTGTAACTTCCCGGTTAACCAGTACTACGAAAGGTGGATAGGTGTTACCCGAGGTCTGTTGCCATGGCAATTTACGCGGCATCTCTAAACTGCTCCGAGCAGGTTTTGTTTGTGGTTAACTCGAGGTTACCCTGCACGTGGACTACAAAACACATCTGTACTCAGTGTTAATGATGAGAAGTAGGATATTAATACACACCACTTTATAAAATACGTTTAGATTTCATCCTGATTTGTTCCACTGCGGTTGCAGTGAGGTTCTGAACACAACAGCATTACGTTCAGACAGCGAGCCCTGCAGCCCCGGTGATTTTAGAGAGGAAATTTCTTAATTAATTAACAGGATAGTTTCTTAGATGTAGCCCATCTGTACTTGAATTATCCCAAGTGTTTTCACATATTTAGATAGACTATTTGTCCAAAAAATAGGGAGCCAGGGTCGGGGGAAATAACCTAAATAAATAAATAATAATCCTAGATGAAAGTGTGAAATTTACAAGAAGAAAAATCGGAAATTCCCTTGAAATTAATGTAACAAAAAATCACTCTGGTGTTTTCTTCTGAATATGCCCAATCCACGGCAAAGTCTCTAAGGTGCATGATAGTGATTGTGGGCTAAACTTCCTCACTGCTAAATCTGATTGCAAAGTTTAATATAACTTTCCAATGCATGCAGACTACACAGCAGACGTGTGTGTGTGATGTTGCAGCCTTGCACTGTGAAGTTTCTCTCATAAATGTGTGAATATAATGTCAGAGAAAGTTTTTTACTTGTAGGCTCCTTTTTTTTATTACAATGAACCTTATGTGCAGTTGTACCTTTACATCTTATTACATATAAAAGAAGAGCCCATAAAATAGGCTACATAATATAGATTTGAACTACAATCAGAACACTGGGAAGATAATTAGGCTACAAATTTACTCAATACGAAGCCAACAAGCCTCCCTGGCTTTGTAGTCTGCCACGATATTAGATTTAGCCCTTAACTTGTCTTTGCATTCTTAATTTCCTGACACTACCAACGTGCATTCCTCTGGAGAAATACGGAGCATGAGCCGTTGCGAAAAAAGCACAACCGAGCACACACTTTTATGCAAACGCGCACTAACTCCAATTGAGTTAACACGGGGTTAACACCGACTCCACTAACCAACATCTTATCCATCTTCGTAGTACCGTTTAACTCCAGTGTAGGTGGTCAGAGTTTGTCAAGTTTGCCTGATGAGTTAACTCTGAGTAGGTTGAACTCCCTTCGTAGTACAGGCCACAGGTCAAAGACCAATTAACAACTCAAGAATAAATATGCTCTGACCAGACATGGCACTGCTGGGCGTGTTGTCCTGAACAGCATCAGCTGAGGGTCCCGTTTGGAAGTTCTCCCACTTGATGATGCGGAGTTCGTCTTGTTCCTGCTTCAGCCAGGCCGGAGAGGTGAGCCTGTCTTTGCACCTCACAGAGCTGGAGTCAATCTCTACACAGGCAGAATAACCTGATGGCTCCTGCTGCCACACGGATGACATCGCTCCAAACCTGGGAACAGGACAAGAGGCAGGTTATATGTAACCTAGAAACGCTCACGGAGATGTTCGGAGAGATTCATGAAGTATTTTACATACTGTTTAAGACACCCCAAAGAAAGACATTGTCAGAATTGATACTTTACTTTGTGTACCTTTGGCTAAAACTACATTCAGACTTTTCTTAGTCTATAAAGTAGCCGTCAGTCTCTACTCTTTAAATTAGTGGGTCGATATCTGGCATTTTAAGATACCGATCCCTGCGCTCACGAGGCCGATATATCATCCAAATGACAGCAGATCTACTAAACGAAAGCCATTACTGGCTAGTTTTACAGTCATACTGTAGAGAGTAATGCATTTGAATGACGTCACTTCTGACAAACTGTACCCCACTCTCCCTTAAACACCAGTCACGTTATGTAATCTACAGTACAATACAATGTATTTTTCTATTTCATTAATTAATAACAATCCCATCTAAAACAACACATTACAGGTTAAGATAATATGTATATTACACTGAACTCTGCAAGGAAAAATGGAATTATACAACTTTTATTCTTTTGATATCGGCATTATATATTGGCCTTGTTCCCTAAATATCAGCACCGGCCATTGAAAAATCCATATCAGTCAACCACTACCATAAATGGTAAGATTTGCCACAAAAGTATTTTTATGCATTTAAAATATATTGTTTGGGTTTATAAAAACCTGCTTACCTAAACCTGAACTATTTTTAAACTAATATCCAGTATATCCATAACATCTCCAGAAATACTGTTGTTTTACTGTGTCAGGCCATTTTACTACCCAGCAAATTTGAACATGGTTTCATAGTATATTGTAAAAATACATGTATTAATACTTTAAACACAGATTGTCAAAAAAAATATTTTCTCAGGACTGCAGCAGTTTTTCTGATTGAGTACAAGTGAATGTTGGACAATCGCCAAAACAAATAAATGTCAAAAGGTTTTGGTGTTGCCCAAGTTGGTCATCTCAATGTAACAACAATGCCTATTGTCTAAAAAAGTCATCCTTTGCCTGCAAGTTAATTAAAATGTAATCACTTTTTTGTGGTTTCACGCTGTTAAACTAAAACATGGCTCAACATCCTTATTATTAAATTAAGTACTGTTACGTAGGAATTTCTTTGATACTTGAATTACTGCGCCGAGATTTACTGCATCACGTTACATGAACTGCTGTCACTGGATATTAAAATAATAAAAGGCACTATTACTTCATATATTCATCATGCAATGAACCATGAAGTCATTAACTTGCCATATAAACAAAAACCAAATGCAGCAAGCTTGAGACATACAGTAATACATATAGCTGATCCTTTAAGACAAGATGTTGCTCTGCTGTTGGACAGAAGTAGAATTTCTTCTTCTTATTTTTTTTTTTTTACACTTCACTGGTTTACAACAAATTTGTTGGCCCGAAATAAACGCATGACTTAACTGTGAGTTAACCGTCACACATCAATGGTCTTGTGACATGAAGCATCCTGTGCTGGTTTTGCTTGCTGCTCCTGAATGAACGGAGTGACTCTGACCTGGTCAAGCTTCCCATCACTTTTCTTTTAATCATGAGATTGTTTTTTCATAATCATAAGATGTTTTCTCATAAGATAGTAAGACGAAATGATGAGATACAAAAGTCATAATTACTTTTACTTTTCTTCCCCCAGATTAAGTGATACAATTAACTTTTTGTTTTTTATAAGGTAGGACAAAGTCCTTGTTTATTTGTTTAATGGCAGCAACAGCAATGGTCACTGAGAGCTGTTCTAGTAAAATATATTTTGTCACTAATAAACAGAAGTTAATCAGAATTTACAGTTACTTATCTGCAAAATAATATTCATAAAAACAAATGATTGCATAGCATTCATTTGTTATTAATTCAATAAAGGCTCTAGTTATAGCTTTAAGTAGGCTACATTAGCATCACGTCATGCATGTGAAACATCACGTTATGAGAAATGCATATGAATGAACTGCAACTAACAAAAGAATAGCTAATAGCTGCACGTTCATGTCCTTTGCAGTTAAAAAAACGACACACGTCTTCATCAACTGCGTTCAGGGTTCCCTCTCCATGACATCATCAGGTTGGTTCAGTTAATGTGGTGAACTGTTTACTAATGATTAACAAGCAATCCTCGCTGCATCTTTGTTATTGTATGACTGCAGTGTACAATGATTTTACCTTTGTACTGAATAACTTAATAAAGGAAGACAAAACTGATAGCAACCTAATCATTTATTAATCCTGAGCCACATGAGTTCATGATATATGATATGATGAATACATTCATTAGAACATATGATAAATCATGCATTAGTTGAGACTGAGCAGTGATGCCCTAAATGTATTTTAGAATCAGGCTTCAGAATTTCTATGTTGCTTGATGGTGTGAATAAACAAATGTTTTCCCAGTTGATGCATATTTTCCATTTTGTTTCACATCTGGTCTCGTACTGTACATGTTAGTGAGAATGGAGCCAGCACACCGGCTCCAGACAGCTACTACAGCTAACATCACATTTGTGTATACTGGACTGTAAAATCTATCACTATTACATCCTCACAGAACAATTCACTTAAAACAAACGGCTGTTTCTTCTTCTTTCTACTGCAGAACTTCAGTGGGATCAAAAACCAGAAGTTGCAGCGTGTGGAGACATGCATCCTGCAATTTACAAGACTTGTGTGCACTTGGCTTTCTGTTGAAACAAACCAATCAAATCAGCTTTAATGCTGCACATACAATCATACACAGATCAACTTTAGCGATATTTGTTTGACAGACAAAAAACATGACAAACTCTGTTTGGATGAGAATGTAGCTGCACCCAGCAGTCTTTGTTTATATCACGTCATGTACGGGCTAGTATTTCTTTATTTTGTTATATTTAATTTTTTTTTTTTTAAAGGAATGGTTGCTGGTCAGCGCATAATAACAGGTTACAATTATGAAATGTAATAAAGTGAGAAAGAAAAACTGGGTATTACATTTGGTCAGTGACTTGTCCACATTACCAGAGACACATCCAAAGCAGCAGATGCAGAGATGTCCTGACTTTCAGTCCCTCGAGCTCAAAACACTGAAACCCACGTTTCCCATAATGCACTTCAATAGCATCTTTCATTACACACCTCTGCCTTCTAAATGCACGCTTCTGTCAGACTCCAATAACCTCATTCCTATTGAGGATGTGGTAACTTTTATCACATCATCAGGGTTATTTGTCCAATAAGAAGCTGCAGAAGACATCATTGTGTGAGATTGGTGGAGTGTCCCTTTAACTGATCACATAAAGTGACAGTGACTTTATCACCACAGGAATTCACGATACATTAATGATGCATTAGGCTATATCATCACCAGTCATGTATTAGCCTACTTGTATTTTGTAAATTATTAGTTTGTTTATAATTTTAAGGTGTAACTGAATGTGGTTATTGGCTGAAGAGTCTATGCAAACAAGTTGTGGTACATTCAGGCGCATGACGTCTGGAAGCAACATATCTTAGTTTATGTACTTGTTTTTTTTTTTTGTTGCAGGAAGTGGACATCACTGTTTTACTCCATGTTTCCATGGAGATGATAGTGGACTCTTTAACATGTGCAGGCTGCAGCAGCTAAACACAAGTGAGTGCTGCAGTGATTAATCTGGCCCCAACACAAGGTGTGAATGACTCTCATGGCACTGACCTACCGCAACCTCTAAAGACATTTTACATTTTTCAGTGCTAGCAGGTAAAAACACTAATAAAGTGCCATAATGCAAAGACAACTCAGCAGGCCTATTATCTTTACCCCTATTGATTAATTACACGAATATAATGGTGTTTTAATTAGTACGTTTATTTTAATCAACATATTTGGCATGACAGAAGTTAAATAGCTCATAAAACACACAAAGGTATTTAGTAGGCTAAAGGGCCAACCATTTCTTCTTGCAGTGGTTTTAATTAGCTCCTACCAAGATGGATGCTAATGACTGTAATTACCAGCAAATAGGGGGAAAAGGACCAACACAGCCAGTGAAACACACAGGACAACGTACCTTCAAGACAGTCCAGCGGGTAAAACAAGTGTTGGAGATGTTCCCGTGTTTGTGTTGCACTGCACTGAAATCTCACTCCGTGTGAAATGCACCGTTTTTCGATAATATAAACAGAGACGAGTGAAAAAATGCGAGACCACAGCGTGCATGTCTGAGACAGGGGCGGTGCCACAGTCCACTGACGCGATTGAGACATTACGCTGCCTTCAGGGCTCGACCGAAAGTCGGATTTCTCACGACTATATTAAAGGTAAACGCTTCATAACGCTGTACCCTGTAATCTTGTTGGGTTACCGTGCCCTCAAATTAGCCGTCTGTAAGTCATATTTCGAAATGATTGCTATTATTAAAAGGGGACTCCTTTTTAGCTTTCCAGCAGCTGCTTATCCTCAAAAGAATTCAAGACAATTTAAATAGGCAACTGGAATTCTTAAAGTCAGACCCAAATGTTCATATTATTTATTTTAGTTTTTTTTCATTACATATTTACAGTACAGAGATCCCACAGCCTTCAAAGGCTAAAGTTGCAAACTGTATGATAGGCAACAGCATTAAATATAATTCATACCCATGTGTCTGGACACGTGGAAAAACGCTTGAGGTGGAGGCAAGCTAGATCACCAGATAGATAATTTGAGTGGCCAATACTTTTAAATTCAACTTCCCAACTCTTTTGGTTCCCCCTGTGACAACATACACTAACTAACTTCTGACAACATCATTACATTTATTCATTTAGCTGATGCTTCTATGAATCCAAAGCGACTTACAATTGCTACACGCCTCTGAACTAGGGGTTAAGTGCTCAGGGAGCACATCGGTAGATGGGTCACGGTGGGGAATCGAACCCGGATCTCTCACACCAAAGGCAGACATTTTATCCATTGCGTCACCACCATCATTACACTTTGATTTTTGGGATATTCTTTAAATTAGGCACAATGCTTCTACTAAGTATCACCAGCTGTTAAAATGCGTGTGGGTTTACATGTATCAATATACATTATTAATTTATATATTCCCCACAGTCCTTAAAGGCAGCAAAAGAGCGGTGAAATGCTTAAAGGGGGCGTGTCCTCTCATAGCGTCACTGATTGTTTGCATGCTTGACGGCCACTGAGTGATTGATGAGGTTGTCATGGAAATCATATTGATCTGCTATAGAGCGCTGTTGTGTTGCCACGACAACGGCATCGTTATCCGTTTAAACGTCGCAAAAACTTTCAGTAACTTTCTGCAAACTGAACAGCAGCGGAGGAAAAAGTATGCATAAGTAAAATTAGTAAGTGTAGAAATACTCGTTTATAAGTAAAAGTCCTGCATTCCACTACCGTGTTTAGCCAATTAGATTAATATATATCAGATGGAGCTATTTTCAATTATCTTATATACTGCTGTGTAGCATAATCTATAATAATATATAGAACATTTTATTTGTTGATACTATTTTATATTATTAATCTAAATCTGTAAATTAGCTAGTTCACTACATTTATCAAGTATAAGTAGTGGAGTAAAAAGTACAATATTAAGCTCTGAAATATAGTGGAGTAGAAGTAGCATTAAATGGAAATAATCAAGTAAAGTACAAGTACTAGAGTAGTTATTACAATGATTTTAGATTTTAACGTGTGTACATCAGGAGAGTTTAGTATTTCTGTAACTGATAAGTTATTGACAATGTACTACACCAACTCAAAGTTCTTTGTTTTGTTTTTCAGTGCAAATGTCTAAACCTCCATTGGAGGCATATGAATGGGTGTGTTTAAATGCACATTAGTATCCTGATTTTGATCTTTGAGATATGATGTTTACATGGAACATGCAAAACCTGGTTATTCATATCCCTGTATTCATGAGTCTAAACACTATGTTTATAATCTGTGTGCAGCTGTGTCTTCATTTCTCACCATCTAAGTTAATATGTCCTGTACCAACAAAGATAACTTAGATATGGTGTTTACATGAAACAGTATCCTGATTTCTGTTGGAGTACTCCGGGTAGCATATCCTGGTTTCTGAAAGCAGGATATGGTGCTTACATGTGCTACACATAACCCAGGATACTCCAAAAACCAGGATACAACTGCACATGTAAAAAGAAAATCTCTGTCAATTCCAGCTATGTGGTCTAGTTATACTATGTGTGCAATAATTAGTGTATCAAAGACAGTTAAAATTCAAATAAAACCAGGCACGATGACGTTACAGGGAACTTTATTTGAAGTTAGTTAAATTCTTTGGCTATAGAGAGGCAAACACTTGTCCCACAAACCCAAGAGACGTCCTTCACGTTGTAACTATCTCATGTAACTGCAGTTCAGTTGAGTTTTTACTCAGCTTGTTGCAAAATGTTTACAGTAGTGGTAATTTTAACAAATCTCAGCTGCCATGTTGAGACACACTGTTAGAGACATCAAACTGTCCAGATGTTAAATGTTTCTTCTCATATACCCTCTGGCCTACCTAAAACAGTAAACTAAATAATGTTATCTATTAAACACTCTACTGTGTTAGTCGTGAAATACAAAAAAAAAAAAAGGTATAACAAGGTGAGGTGTATTTGGATTTGTCACGTTTTTCTAGTTGTAGTTAAGAAGAAAAATGCAACATACTGTAAATCAATATATAGTTTCTTCTCAATAAGCAGCTGATCAAATATATATTCTCTTCAGCGAATCAGGAACATGTATAAAATGCCATTTCACATAACTTTGCATTTCCTTCATGACACAAACTAATTTTCATTCATCACAAACTTGCACATTTCTTCACTTATAAGCACAAACTTCAAGCCATATGGAGTGATTGCATTAGTTTTAACAGCAGTGAAGTACAACAGTCACTGTGTTTGGGGGCATGGAGGGTGAAAGATAGCCCTGGAAAAAATAAAATCAAACATGAATTATTTGATTAAACAGTATATAAAGATAATGATGTAACATGTATTGTCTCAATATATCAGTAAATGCAGCAGCAGAAAGGCATACTGAGGCCATAGCTTTCCCAGTGTACAAAAATGTCTCATGTTTACAATGAGATTATCCTCTCGAGCCTCAAACCACCTGATCAAATCACACTCAGTGTAAATGAATCAGTGTGACATCAGTTGGCTCCTGTGAGCGTTGGAAATGTATAAATCTTGGTGCTTGTTTACAGTGACTAAAACTTGCTTCACCACTGTATAAATGCTGGTAAAGGATTTAAGAACTGGCGCATAAAATCGACTAAGAAATGGGCAGTAATTGACCGAAACGGTAGTTTCACAGACAGATGAGCAAATCCAGTTCAACGGGGATTTTGTAACTAATGTCTGTGGAATAAGTTAAAAAGGAGAGGCATTCAAATTCACAGTAACTTGGACAAGACATGCCAGGTTAATTATTTTATCACCCTCCTGCTCCCGACATAATGTTACACGGAGTAGTATTAGTTTGTTAGACAAAAAACAGCAGCGCCCTCAGTATAAATTCTCTGCTGTCCGTGCCTCTTTCGCCCACGTCCGCTCTGCTGAAACCCTCCGATGTTTAGTGGCAGATGGCCACGAGGAGGCGTTTAAAGTCGCCGCTGCACTCGTCCTTCAGGGCGTCCTTCAGAGGCACGTCGTACTTCTCCAGATACATGTCCTTGATGGTCTCCAGATCGTACTGTTGACAACAAGAAAAAGAGGTCAAGCTTTGTGCATTTTAGAGTCTTTATATTAGTCTGAAACACAAACATGGAGAACGGCATTCTGCAGTAATCTTACTTCCTTAAAGTAATGTCACAATAATTTAATTTTTACACATTCTGGTTTCATCTGTTCACAGTGCTGCAACTTTTTGCTGTCTAAAATCTTTATGAAAAGCAAAATTATCATAATAAATTGGGATTTTTCTGAAGAAAGACAATGTTTGCTACTTATATGTGTAACCAAGACTTCAGACAGGGAAAATACTGTTGTGACAGAAAAGAACAGCAATTTTACACGTAGTGGTACATTATTGAAAATAATTAAAAATTAAATGTATACGTTATAAGTTGAAATGGACACTAAGTAGCTTCCACAAGTCTAGATAAGTCTACTACTATATATTTTCAAATGCTCCCACAACAACAAAAAGGCCAAGAAAAAACATCTTGCTTCACTAATAAACTTAAAGTAAGTATGCCTTTGTTTCAAAATAAGGTTGGGATGGGGGAGATCTCGCATTATCTATATTTTACAGTAAAACAGGTTACTACAGTACATTAAGTATGGGGTCAAAGCCCTCACGTCTGTAGCTCAGTGGTTCTCAAACTTTTTCTGTCACGCATCCCTTCAGAGAAGGAAAGAAAAAAAGTTAATGCCTTCGCACTGCAGCAAAAATAAAGTTAAATTTTATTAACATCAAAGGTGATTGAAATAAACAAGATTCAGGTTAGCAAAAGAGCCTTGCCGGCATCAGAGCACTTGTTTGTTTATGTCACCATAATGAATCCTGTGTCCCACGTGTCCCAGTTTGAGAACCACTGCTGTGGCATGACATCACACCTTCCAAAACAAAAATGTGTTGCAGAAAAAAAAGGTTTTATTTTTGGTTTTGTTGGCACTGGACTTTAACCTTACTTATCCCAAATAAAACCAAAAAAGAAAACCAAAAAACAAGTTTGAATATTTGGCTCCACCTGTTGATGTTTTAGTGAAATTACCTCAGAGCGACACACAATGATGCGAATGAGGGTGTCCTCGTCGGTGCCCGCTCCTTCATGGCTTTGTTCAGACGTCGGGCAAAGTAGAGCTGAGGGTTCTTCGCAACTCTCACTGAGGGGAGGAAGAAAAGCTTTCATTAACACCATCAGTTCCTCCCAATACAACTAAATACCGTCTGTTAATTGGAAACTTCAATTCAACATTCAGCATCCACCATTGTCTTTACCCACTCAAAGTGTTAGTCCATGATGAGATACACAAAAAGCAACTCAGCTTGCTTTATATTTTACTATGTGAGCCACTGACATCATCTTTATGTGTTATCTTATTTGGACAATTTGTTGTTTGCGTTTCATACTAACCAAGAGCAATGTAGCATTTTTTTAGCGTCCCAGAAGTCTCATTCTCGATGGCATCTAGGATTTCAGTCCCAGAGAGCTATGGAGAGAAAATTACTAGTTGAATTAAAGGACTAGCATTGCCTTTAAGTGGTAAGGCTTCCTTTTCCAGGCCTGCAATTTCCTCCTAATCTCCCCAGAAGGATTGTGAATATTGATTTATGTTTGAAGTATAATTAAAAAAGTTCAGGACATTTTAAATTAAAGTCTGTCTGCACCTGCATGAGAACAAACAGCACGTCTCAAGGGTAACCCTGATTAATTCACATGCTAGCTGAAGATGAAATGTCAGGTCATATCACCGCAGCTGCAGACAGCGTGACACAGAAACCTACCTGCTCATATATCTTGAAGGTGGCCTGGAGCTGCAGGTAATTTCTGGTGGCCAGGATGTGGGTGAAAGTGGACTCATCTGTGCCAAAACAACCCTCACCGGCCTGCAACAAATATCACTATTCAGGATGAATGAATCTGCGATGAGATGGCAAGGAACACGTATTTAACATTGACACAGTACCTCAAACAGAGCGGTAGCGTCTTGTTCAGCCAGATCCTCATCCACCTCGTAACTCTCATCTCTGTTGCCCTGAACGAAGAAGAAGAGTAAGATTACTGTGTGGTTAAGCCTTTCTCTCGGACTGAAGCAGCTGTATCTGGTTTCTGTTTTACTAATGAGAGGGTGTCTGGAAAGTGGCCAGCGTGCGTATGTGTGTTTAGAGAGAGTGAGCTCAATTTCAGTCCAACATCAGACGGGAGGAGTTCAGTTACGCGAACGGCGTAGAAAGTCAAGGCCACTTACCTGCAAAAGAGCCATGAGCAGGTTTCTTACATCCCCGCTTGTATCTCCCTCAATGTCTGCTTCAAGATCACGTTCATGCACTGAAAGAGTGACAAAATGTAAACAAAAGGGTCAAATGAAAATTCACACTGTTTATTTTATGTCTCATATATATATATATATATATATATATATATATATATATATATATAGTCCACCCCTACATTCTACCATTAAGTACAAGTTTGTCATGCTCACTGCATTCGGTTCAAGTCATGTGGCTGCAGGGCGTTTTAGTTTAATAACACCACCAGTTAGCCTCTTCAATGACAGACTCCTGTCTGTGTGACTAATACTGTGTCTCAATTCACTCCCTTCTGTACTTACACTTGCTATTTCGAGTGCATAAGAGTGTTCACACTAACAAGTATGGCAAAATGCAGTGCACTATGAGCACCCGCATGGTGTACACATAATGGTCAAAATGTTGAGTGTGGAAAGTTTCCATCTCACAGTCTCCATCTTGGCTACGTAGCGGAAGGGGAGGGACCACAAACATTTTTTTAAACTTGTGAAAATGGGGGCTGAGGAAGCTGCAACGGTTGTGATTAGAAAAGTAAATATCGTCATTTTTATTCAGATTTGGAACACTCGTAATCATCATTTTGCTATAATATATATAACTATGATTTTTGCATCTATACAATTTGATGCATTGAGGGATTGAAAATTAAATGTTTTTGTTCTATTGTGGATTTTTTGAGGGCACTATATAGGGACTTACGCGCTCGGACATACAAATAAAATGATGGACAGTAAATGTAGTGCACTACAAAATATATCACGTTTTCTGACACAGCCCAACTGTCACGTTAGTTATTTTACATTGTGCCAGGAAGAAACAACGTATTATGAGTGAATACATCAACATTGAGCCCCACAGGAACTACAGCACATGGCAAAGGTTGGGTGAGCATTCTCATTGAATCCCAGTATTAATGCTAATTGATGTTTTGACCTACCATTAGGGTAGGTAAGACAGGTGACACCATTCTTTAATCCTGACCTGTCATACCTTAGCTGCCTTTGAATGCTGTTCTCACCCGAGCCAAGAGGTGATACTCAGCCGAGTCAACACTTGAGTCCATAAAATCAGCAGCTATAGCAAGCACCAGCAGGATCCTGACACCAAACAAGCCAACCAATCCGCCTAACTACCTCATCCTAGCAAGCAATACTGATATCATCAGTTTAAGTTGCACCTACTTAACTTTGCCCCAGTCACTCACAATCCTACTTTAATTATTAACTTAACAGAATGTCTTACTAGAAAGTGAAAATCACAAACTGTTATTTTGAATATGTCTGTAAGAAGCACGCCAAGAGAAATGTAAATTGCAAGATAGGATTACTTTACATTTCGCAGGCCTCTGGACCAACTAGGCGTTAACTGTCTTGCTCAGGGACACATTGGTGGATGTGTCCCCACAGTGGGGGATTGAACCTGGGTCGCTCACACCAAAGGCATGTGTCTTCCCACCAAAAACCAAAACCAAGTTTAGAGAGAAAAACATATGACGTCAACATTAGATGTAAAACAAACCCTCCATTGATGAAATAAGAAAGAAAATGTTGCTAATTATAATCAGCACTCATCACTTTTATCACAGAAAACAGGAAGTTGCAGCAGGATGGGCCTTGACTAAACAAAGTGTGAATGTACGCAAGCCCAAATGAGTCACGGGTAGCCATTTCCTCCAGGTCAAAATACAAGGTTGGGAAATAGTGACATTTAGTAACTTAGAGGGTGAGAGGTTTAATAACCGCACAATATGGTTTGTATGCCTCATAAGATATGAACTTCTATAGAACAGTATGGATGGGATGGCTGGAAAGTCAAGTAATGTTTTCATAAGTGAAATGTTTTAATCCTGTTTAAACCATGTAACTTGGCTTTGTGTAGTCATTTTTGAAAAGTTAAAGGCTTCATTTGCATATTGGCTTACCTTGAAAGTAGCATTCCTTGAACAAGGCGATGTCCTGTGGAAAATAATTAAAGACAAGATGAAGACATTTGACAAGCAATTCAACATAATGGCACACAGATTCCTGATGTATTAACTCATTGTTCATTTGAGATGATGCTTTTGATTTGATTTTGACTGACGGCGTTGGTGGCGGTGCAGAGGATCTCCACCAGGACGTCTTCATCTGTGCCCGCTCCCTTCATGGCCTTCCTCAGCTCCTTCACAGCGTAGATGACGGGCGGGTCCAGCATGGCGAGGATAGCCTTCTCAAAGCTCCCCGACAACTCGCTCTTCAACACATCCACTAACTCCTATCACAAAGACAAAGAAGTGAAATAACAGAAAGGACCAGAAACAGAGAGAAATGCTGATTTTCTGATATATTTCACATGAAAATGTGAAATGGTACAAGATAAAGGACATGCGGATAATATTCTGTGTTTCCTCACATCATCGTATTTATCAAAATAGGCCTGTTTAATTTCCTGACGCTGATATGAGCTGCGGTTTGCCAGGATGTCAATGATGGCCTGTTCATCAGTTCCTGAAGGGAAAACAACACAAAACACAATGATAAACAATGTCATTTGCAAGTAACACTTTACTACATTACAAGAATTAAAAAAACATCCATATATTCTTATGCTATACTTTCAATATTTCCACCTTACCAAAGCCTTTGCAGGCTTTCCGAATGGCCTTGATGTCTGCTACGACATCAAACTCCTCGTAGGGCACAATTGTGGGCTAAGAGAATAAAAGACAGATTGTTCTTTAGATGAAATACAAAGAATAAAAACAGCTGGTTCTATCAAACTGATCATTGTTTCAGTAAATGAAGTTCAGCGGGATCTGAGACAGGGATGCAGGAGCAGCTGGCAGATGGGGGAGGGGAGGACGATGACACAATGCTTTGGTTGAGGAATTCAGGGCCTTTAAACAAACTCGGTGGGGGCCGCGTGAATAACTGGCAGTGACCAAGTGCAGTCCAGGGGCCAACAGGGGTCTGAGAGGCAGCCCAACAAGGGAACCACATCATCTGCAGCAATTAAAACTACTTAAATGCCACTTCTCTACTATAACAAGGTAAACATATAGCAAACTGTTTGACTCTTCACAGAATCAGATTCTATTTTCTGAATATGAAGTAGGATGTTATTTAAATTGTGAAGCACTTAAAAGTATTTTTAAGCAATTAATAATCAAAACGCAATAAAACAAGTTGTTGCTAGTTGAAAGCTTGTGTCACTGCTAATTTGTGAGGTAAAACAATAAATAAATGACCATAAATGTACCAAAAACACAGAATGCTGACAGAAATAGACACCCTTCCCCCATCTTTGCACATGCATGGACTCTACCCTTGCCTAATGTAAGAGCTCTACTCTTTCATCCACGCACACATCTAACGGAGCTGTGATGATCTCCGCAGGGGAGTGGCCGCTTCCTCTGCGTAAACCCAGACACGGCTGTCTGTCACACCGTGTCATTTGCGACGTTTTCACCCGGCTTCATTTAAAGAAACACCAAATATTAAGAATCTGAGACCAGCGCTCTAATTTTCAGTCAAAACAAGATTTGTTACGATTTAGGCCTACGTGATCTGCGCAACTACTGACGTCGATTAGAGACACTGCGTTGTTCGACCCATCACGCAAAAAATACGCAATAAATACAACATGTACTCAAGAAATGAAGCCCTTGCTCCCCTGAATCTGTTCCTCCTGGCGATTCCCTGGATCAAAATCCTCAACATGAAACTCTAAAGCCCCCGAGCGAAGCCCAAACTGATTTACTATTTTTCTAAATTGTCTTTAAGAGATGGTACTTACTTGACAGTTGCCCATTTTTAAGGATGTTTATCCGACGACAGCTGGTGCTCTGTTGGAAAGAGTCGTAGTTTGGGATATATGAGTCCTCCTGAACAAACTGCGGCCCAAAGCAGCAGAAACCAGTACGTCACGTCACCACGGACCGCCACGCCGTCCCGTTAACCATTTACATCCACTGAGCCTGCACCGTACCGGAGCATTTCCATATCATGCCACTTTAAACTTCTGCTTCACTGCATTTCAAAGCGGAATAACGCACTTTTGTTACTTCGCTACATTTATTTCATTATTATTTCAGCTTTACTTACTTTTCAAACCATATATAAAAATACGATCAGCTTTTAAATCATGATGCATTAACAATCTCCCTCTTTCTAACATTTGATCTAATGGTGTCATCGTGGGTAGCCTAACTTTTTGGTTTTTATTTAAAATAATAAAAAAAAATACTATAAGTTTGTGGCCTACAGACTGGACATGCACAAAATGAACAAGTGGTTATTTGTTGCATTATGGGAATTGTAGGATCACGTGTGTTCGTGGGTTGGAGCCTCTTCTGTGGCTTGGACCAAAATCTGTCTATTCTGAGTGCAAAGCCTCGTATCAATTGTGATTTCAGTGAATAATTGTGTCCTAACCTCTTTTCAATGGAAATAAAAATATTTTCTAAAATCTAAAATCAAGTTTAAAATTTAATTTAATGCAGCAACACGCTTTAAAAGTATCTTCGTCTGTACAGTCAGTTCTTTAGACATAACCTGTTTCAGGAAAATAAAGTTTTAAAACAAAATTATAGCCAGAATTGTCTTGAATGGTCATTCTACAGTACTTTTAAAACTTTCAGTAAACATTTCTGAAATGTACTTTTGTCCTTTACTTAACATCTTTAATGTATGACTTCTCCCTGTAATATGAGGTGGTGATAGTGCAGTGGATAAGACAAATTCCTTTGGTGTGAGCGACCCAGGTTCAATCCACCAATGTGTCCCTGAGCAAGACAGATGTGTGCAATCGCTGACATATACAGCATTTTTAAGTTGCTTTGGATAAAAGCGTCAGCTACATGTAATGTAGAGTATTTTTGTATTATTACTTTTACTTATGTAAAGGATCTGTATACATCTGCCACCACTGTTTATAAAAGTGTGCAAGGTTTAGGTTTTCTGATTTATGAATTTTAACATTGCTTCTATAAAGTTTACAGCATAACTGTCAAAGCCATAGGCTATATTAAGAATACAGGTAAGGAATATAATAGTGATACATAACTCAGTGTAAAGGAGACACTACTGAGTCTAAACAGCATGGTGATTTGTGGTCCTTTTTTCAACCAGATGACTCAGGATGAACCTTTTAGGCATCCTTAAGCCCAATTTTACTTTACTTTGATTTTAGAGTCCTTCTTGCAACAGGGGGGATGTAATGCTGCTGACCATGACCTCTGACCTCCCTGCACATGGGGTGTGTTCTGCTGCTCTGATTTCTACTACTTAAACCGACTGCACAGCTGTTAAACTCCTCTTCCGTTGCAGTAACAAACCTTAATTCACAAAATGGTAATACAGCAGAGAGAAAAATAGCTCTGTTGAAAAGTTTTACTGGACAATGTTTGCATGTGAAAAATGAACCAAACGGTCGGTTCTCTAGAATTTAGTGTTCCACAGTTTAATTACCAACCTTGCCAGCTTACGCTCTATAACCATTGGTATTTCAGTCCCTTATAACTGTCCCTACATCATAATTACCCAACCGCTGAGGAGGAAAGCTGCTGCTGCCCTCCACAATAAGGCCCTTAGCCTATGAAAGGTAAATACATGCACACTCTCTGTCTGCATGAACTGTTCCAATTAAGAGCTCGCTGATGTCACACTAACAAAGCCATGCAATTAGACTGGGATGAGTCATCTCCACTTTATAATTATCTGAAAATTACCTGGAAGATCAATCAGGGAACGTTTTAAGACAAATAATTAAAATTATGCAAGCTGGTTATTCAGACAATGAACTGTAGCTGTTTCTAGTGCCCAACAGTATAATGAGCTAATTAGCAATTATTCTAACAAGATGTGAGTCACGTACAGTAACAACATATTTAGTATCTATCAGTAGGATTTAAATCACTATGAACATTTTTACTGACCTGTGTGGGCTGATGTAATCTCAAACTTTTCTGCAATATTTAGACCAGTTCTTTGCGGTGTGTGTCGTATATATTTAACGTCTCATTCTTAGCTGAAACTTTTAATTCAATTCTCAGTCACGCAGCTCAGTTGTTGAACAACTTGTCCTCTAATCACAGGGCCTCTGATTTGATTCTCAGCTCCTCCCCACAACCGAGCTGTAGACTTCAATCAGACTTAAATCACAGCAAATGAGCATTTAAAGGAACAGCTCAACAGTTCGGGGAACATGTTTATTCGCTTTCTTGCTGAGAGTTAACGATGAGAAGACTGATACTACTCTGATGCAGATGTTAGCTTAGCTTAGGCAGATGTTACCTTTGGACAATCTTCTCATCTAACTCCCGGCAAGAGAGCGAATAAGCCTATTTCCCATAATGTTCTTTTAAGACTTGACTTGAACTTTACTGCTGCAATACTGTACTTCCCAGCCATTATTTAAGGACATCATGTGGGCAATGCATCATCAAACAGATTGAATATTTATTAATTAGGTTTATAGATTTCAGAAACAATTGTTGATACCATTACGATCGTCTGCTTTTAGAGACTTGAAAGAGTGTACCTTGCTTATGAAGAGGGGTACTCCACCGATTCTATATAAATGTAGTTTACTTGTCCTGAGGAGTATAATACTCAGCTTGTGAAAACTGTTGTATAATATCTTCTGTGTCTCTGGTGAAGCTTCCTAAAGTTTGAAATGTAAGCATTGAAAGAAGTGGGCATTTAGGAGGCAAGGACGGTCTAATGACACTTTTGATTTGGACCATTCATTTTAAAATCACCCAGCTTTAAGGAATGAACTGCTCTATTGAATGCAGTTCATTTGGCAGCTCTTTAAAGCAACATAATGTAGTAATTTCATCCCAGCTTCAAAAACACTGACTTGTAATAGGGAAAACCGTGTCTCTGGCATTACCACTCCTGGACCAGAGAGCCTGGTGTTAGACAAAAAACACCAAATCATAATGTTGCTTTGAGATCCCAGATGTCTCTTCTGTTATGGGAAGAATTAGTGAATCTATTCCAAGTAACCAAAGTGGAAGATGTTGGTGTTGCAGGCACCTGTTCTTGTAGCAACACATGTAAATAGGAGGCTCGCTGTTCTTGACATGTTCACACTCTCTGTGTTTTTGTTCTATCGGTGTAAGTTTATTCACAGCCTGTATTCTTTGCCACCATAAGAATTTGCTGCTGAAACAGCCCAAATATCTTGATGACTACAAAAAAAAAAACATTACTTGAAGACAAAAGTCAGAGAGTACTGTTTTCCTGACTTCTCTAGAGCTCTCAGTTGTCTCAGCTCGGGGATGTTATGGTGTTAATTTCACAGGCGGTGGAAAGGGGTCCTACTGAAGCCTTTACCACGGATCTGGAAACAAAGACAGCATTCAGAAGTGCCAGCCAAAGAAACAGGCTGTAATGTAATGCTGGCCCGGGACCCAGACTCATGTTATGACCTCAAACACAACTTGTTTACTGTTGGAGGTTGGAGTTTCAGCTGCAACAAGATGAATGTGATGTGTGGAAAGAATTAAGTTTTACAAAAATATTTTGGGGAGCAAAGCTCTGCAGGAGGATTAAGTTACAATGAAAGGTTTTTAGAGCAACATTTGCATCAAGAAGTTCCCTTGGAGGATTAGAAGATTTGATTTACCTCTATATTTAGGCTGTCGCAGTGCAGGACAGCCACAACATTTACTTTAATTGTTCAACTGTTTGTTGTTGCCACCTCATATCTAAAATGAGTAGAAATCTTGTTTGGTATTTGTGACTTATTAAGGCTTAATTTAACTAAATTTACACAAATTATATAAAAACCCCATAGTCATCATTTGTTTCAGAAAGATTTGCACGGTTGCAGATGTTCTTTTGGTTCTTTTCAATCAAAGCCAGTGTGATCAGGTGACCTTCTGAGTACACTAGGCTTTTGTTGCATGGAACAATGCTCATCTAATAAACGGTGCATTGTCTACCTGCTCTTGGGGTAAAATCCCTGCGGTGTAAAGGCTATTGGTCCTTTTTGCTGTGCCCAGGTGGTAGTTTGGGGCACCACTTCCTGGCATCCCCCAGATGGAGTGCTGCATGGTGTCATGGTGCTGCACATAGTAAGACATTAGTAAACATAAAAGTAATCATCAGTCTTATCACGAATGAACAGAGGTCTCTCTTTTCCAGGCATTATGAAATACAGTAAGCTTTCCCCTTGTTATAAAGTAACTAACCTTTCGTTCGTCAACAGTGTTTCTACTTCGCTCCTTTTCTATCTGCCGCTTCCTCTCCTCTATCTGCAGGCAAAGGTCTTTGTAATACTGGCTTTTTTTTTCCTAAAGAAAATATAAAATAAATGTGACACGGGAACACTGCAACAGAAAGTTTAGTGTTGTCTGGTTACTTTATGCAGAGGACAGAAGATATAGTGTGACCTCTCTGGTGATGTTAGACGGCTTCATGTTCAACCCTGGTGCTTCACCCTGTCGAGCAGCGCATAGCGAAGCTTTTCCCTGGAAGAAACTGACACTCCTCACAATCTATTTTACTCTAAGTTGATATTGTGTTTAAAATCACAGCTAAACATGGATCAACACCTCCATCTTGTGGTCATATGCATTAACTACAGTTTAAATAGGCCTTAAAAGATCATTATTGTCAACAAATCGCACTGGGTGAAAAACCAAGAATGAATGTATCCTACTAACAAGTAAAGTGTGTTCATTAGGATGAACACTGCCACTGTAGTCAATAACACATACACTGTCCTGGTGCTGGAAAACACTTACTAGAGCACCAAATATGTATTAACCCTCTGTTGAATGTAGTCCCTAAGACGTGCACTGTTTACTCATGTGTGAGTAATGTTTGCTAAAAACTGCAGCTGTGTTAGTAAATACTTTAGCCTTTTTTGAAAAGATTATACATATTTGTAACCTGTACTTAAATGTTAAATATGTAAAGATATAGTGGAGTAATGGCGTCCTGAGCAGAGAATGGCGCCACAGTTCCTCTGAGTGTGTTGTCATCCGAGCTTCTCTGCTTTTTGTTTTGGTAGCCGCTTTGGCAGCGCATTCATGGCAGCGTTTGTGAGTCCCTCACTGTGAAGCTGTAATGACTGTTTCTTTTCTCATCTAACGCCATGACTTAAGGATTTCTTTTGACCAAACCAGAGTTGGGGAACAGTGAAAAGACTAACCTTTTGGTGAGCAAGGGCGATCTCAAAGCTGTTTCTGGTTTAACAAAAAGGTCTATCTTTATTGGGATCCTTTCCATAATGTTGTCATGTTGCACTTTTAGTGGGCGTATGCTACTTTGTCCCCAAGGATTAAGTTATAGCAATTGCAGCCTGTTTCACGGCTACCTGGAAGAGGGGTAGAGCCAGAATATTTCAGTGAATTAAGGTTTAAATTGACTAAACCAGAGTTGGTGATTATTGGAGCAGTGGAAAGACAATTTTGGAGAGTTTTATTTTGTTTCTGTCTAGTTTAAATGACGAATGATGATCGGAAAGGTATAATTACTGTTTTTCATAATGGAGTCTGGTGGGCCGCAGCACTGATTTGTCTTTGTCTGACATGCTGGTGCTCTAGTGTGACATTTAGAGTCTGTTAATGTCATGTACGGATCCTTTAAAGATCCATGCGATGGGTTTGGGGCTGAGAGCCAGTGAGATTTGTTGACAATAGCACAAATTTTGCCAGCCTTTATCCTTTAAGGAAAAAAAAAGACAGCATTTGCAATGAAACATACAGCAATGGATGCATGAACAGAAGAGGTCCTTATGGGGTCAGTGCTCGTCAATCTTACAGCCCCTTCGAGTGTTAGTAACGGCAGAGGAGCTGAGGGAAAAGAATAAACAGTAAACAGTTACATTCAACTGAAATTGTATGACATATGGTGTTTTGACATTGTACCCCAGTACAATTGAGAGTAAAGTATCTAGAGCCAGTCAACAGAAGTCAACAAAAAATTAATTGGTAACAATTTGGATGCAATACAGTCATCATTTAAGCCATTTAACAACATAACACTGGTTAAAGCCTCTTAAATGTAAGGATATGCTGATTTTCCTCTTTTATATAATTGGAAATTGGAAATTTTTTGGTGTAGGGCTGTCAGTCGAATAAAACAAGCAATTTAAAGTTGTCACCTTGGGCTGTATGACGTTTTATAGACAAAATACAGCATTACATTTCATTCATGCACTGCCAATTTTCCATTTTATTACATCATTCTTTCTATGTCACTCGCTCTTTTTTGGTGTATATTGCAATTTTAGCCTTTCTCAACAGCCTAAAAGCCACGATTTGAATCTAAATTCCTCTTTGGTGAAATATTTTTCAGATTTCTAACCTTAATAGCAATGCCCCCGAGTAAGCAGGGACTCGCATAAAATAAATCAATAAATCTGTTCTGCAACCCAGACAGTCTCCTCCGCTGAAAGAAAAAAAAAGGTTTAGGATTTCTGTGAGAGCCAGAGTTATCCATTTAGTGCCCACTGTAGTGAAGCCCACTCATAATAAGTTTTACTATCAGGCTGACTCATGTTCACTTTCAGGCCATGACAAACACACACTCTTCTCGTACAGTACTTCCCCCAGGCTTCCCATGAGTGGAGGCGTGTGCGTGGTAAGGTTGTATTGTCATTACAGCGTGATGATAACAAATTCAATGTGTCTGTATGCAGATTTAATCCCATCTCTGTTTATGTGTGTGTAGACATTCTGTATTGTGTTCTTCATCATGTTATTTTTACAGTAATCAAGCCTATTTTACAGTATACTATATGGCCAAAAGTATGTGGACGCCCCAACATTACAAACAACTTTGATCGTTGAACATCTCAATCCAAAGCCGTGTGGGCATTAAGGCTATTAAATCCTCCACTCTTCTGGTTTCAGGCTTTTTGCAAGATGTAGGAACCTGGCTGCAGGGATTTGTTCCCATTCAGACAAGATAGCATTAGTGAGGTCCACCACCTGATGTTGGGTGATGTGGCCCGGCTCACAGTCGGTGTTCCAGTTCATCCCAAAGGTGTTGGATAAGGTTGAAGTTAGTGGTGAAGACTGCGAAACTGTAAAGAACACGCTTCTTATAACTTCAGTGTTTGGACGTTTTCTCCAGTCAGGCACAATCAGGAAGTAGGTAATTCAGCAATACTTTTAAAGGGGAACTTTTGATTTTACACATGTATGTAATGTAGGTCCCAAATTTTGACAACAGAAGAAGAATGTACGGAATAAAAAAGACTGTTCATAGTGAATCCAACGACGTTATAGGAGTGCAATTCTAAATCAGTGGAGGCCTCTTTTAATGATGCAAACATTCTTTTGGCCACATAGTAAACATTAACTTGCTCACATCATACTTGTTTTATTGCCTTCTGAGGCCTCTAACTTACAGTAAAGATTATTTTTATACTCTCCGTGTTATCTTGTCGAGTATTGTGAAAGATCATAAACACACCATCAAACTCACAGTATGATTCAAACATTTCCAGCCCAAACGTTTGAGAGGGAATGACTGTGAACAGTGTGTGAGTGATCTCACATTGGTCCCTGAGAGAGGCCCCCTCCTTCGCATCAATCAGCTGTCTGCATGCTACCTAGGGGCAGAAACGGTGAAGATTAAGCGCAGTTACCTTCTGGAAATTGCTATAATTGAGTGATTAAGACCAATGACGTCAAATGAAAGCCCGTTTTTTACTGAATGAACATTCACTTAGCTTTTATTCACACACATCGGTATGACTGTGACTCACCAGCGTCCTGGCCTTGGGCTTTGTGCTCGGAGTCTGTATTTGTGCTGCAGCGGTCTCTGGTGAAAGACAGAGTGATGAAAGGTCTTTTTTTTTTACACCTTGTGTAAAATCAATACAAATTGGATTATTAGATGAGTGGACCTGCCTTTGTTCTTTCCACTCTCGATGTCCGTCAGTGATGGCTCCACTTTTACATAAAGTGAATCATCACTGTGGTGATGAGCCCTGAAATAATCCGGTTCATTTACTGAGCTGCATTTCACGCTGATCATTAGTGTACTTGTGTTACTGTGTGTCACTCACACGCAGGCTTCACTGTCCTCACAAAAACACGAGGAAAGCTTGATGGACATTTGGGGTTTGGAGCCTTTCACACCCACCGTCAGTTCAACCTTCTCATTGCTGGACTCCTTACTTTTCAACTCCACGTTTTTCCTGCCCTGTGGAACAATGCTAAGCTGGAATTAAAGTCAGGCAACAATGTGATGACAGCAAATATTCGTGGGGAAAAGCCTATTGACACCTCAAGGTCAATGTCTCAGCAAGGCGACAAACATGAACTGTCCTGGAGGGGACACAAATACAGCAGGTACATGAAAACATAAACTGTGAGGTGAGTCAGGTTAAAGAGGTTAAACTGCATAATAACTCAGAAAGCATGAGACAATATCCAACGGCCTACTGTACAAACCACTGCTGATCCAGCTGGGCAGTGCGGATAATGTGATGGTGACCCCTGATCACACGCCATGGTCTTCCTTTAGATAGATAGATAGATTTATGTTTTATGCATCAACAAATCCTATTGCATTACTACAAATAGTAGTGGGGGCAACCAGTGTACAAATTAGTACAAATTTGAGGTACATTTTGAGTGAGAAATAGGAAAATATTTACTAGACTGTAATTGTTTCCCAGCTTTAGCAACTAATTACTTTATAAATTAAGATTTTTCCACACAATACACACAAAGAGCTTATATGATAATATGATGTTTTGTTATATAAAGTAAACTACCCAACTATCTATCTATCTATATATATATGGTTAAGTACAGCTGAAAACGATCAGTCGATCAATCAATTAGTGGATTGACAGAAAATTAATTGGCAACTATTTTGACGTTTGAGTTATTTTTAGGCCTACAAACTTTTACGTAAATACATTTTCAATGCAGGACTTTTACTTGTAACAGAGTATTTTTGAAGTGTGGCAGCCTAGTAGTACTTTTACACAATTCTTTATATTACTTATTATTTTATAACTTGTGTAACTTGTTTATTTCATATATTTATATAGGTTTAGTAACCAAATCAAATCCCTTGTATGTGTAAAAACTACTTGGCAATAAAGCTGTTTCTGATTTCTGAAAACCACTGAGGGCAACAATGGCAGTTACAGGCCTACACAGTAAATCTAACTGGTTAATTAATGCAACTTTCTTGAGTTGGTCTTTGGGGTGGAAGATGTTATTTCGTGTTTTCTGACACTCTCATGACATTCCCGAAAATAAAACATTTCATTTGAATACAGACAGATGCAATATGCCTAGATATTTTGGCTTAATAACCCAAAACACGCACAACAACACATTGCATTTAACATTATTTACCTTGGAGTGATGGAGCTGGAAAATAAAGTAGGCAGGAAACAAACTGAGGAAGAGGGAAGCAGGTGGTGACCGGTGGCTTTAGTTTGTAAGCATTTAAAATCAGCGGAATGGAGCTGATGATGAAATTAACGTCATCGCAGGACGTCACGACGTAGAGTTCTCCCGTCACTAGGGGGCGGTGCGCAGCCGAGCGTCACCTCTGCAGACTGAGGAGAAGCTGTTTGTTTGGCTCGTGTCCTCCAACAACAAAGTGCTGTTAGTGAAACAAGACAGTGGGGACGGAAAATTTACCTAATTAAAAGTACTATTACTACACTACAAAAATACTCTGTTACAGGTAAAAGTCATTAAACAGGAATAATCAGGAAAATGTAGGATAAACTCATAATAATGTCTACTGTGACTGTTATACTATTATATTTTATTGTTAGATTATGACTCGTGTATTAAAGTAAATGTTGAATATGATTTTTAACTATTTTGTATCAGACTGCACCTAATGTAAACATTAATCAGTTGATTTTTTGTGTGTGTAAAATGTCATTAAAAATGAGAAATGCCTTCACAATTATCCAGAGTCCAAAAGTTACACGTTCACGATGCTTGTTTTGTCCAATGGATTGTAATTCATTTTTTTTGATTGATTTCTTTTGACCATCTCTGTACTTAGCTGTAGGCCTACTTGTATACACTGTTTATTTAATTTAAATCAAAACATTACATTTTAAAAGCTTTTCCTTTGTTATCTATGCAAAAATATGCAAAAAGTAACTAAAGCTTTCAGATGATTGTTGTGAATTGTAGTGGAATAGAAGTATGAAGTGGCATGAAAAGAAAATATGTACCTTAAATTTGTACCTGGTTGAACTTCAAACAAACAAAAAGCCTCAAACATTTAATTTAAATTTGTATATTCATAATTGTACAAATTGATTTCTTTATTGATAGTTATTCAGTTTTTCTTGTTGTTTTTCAGGGTTTCTTGGTCATATTCTCCCTCGTCCTTGTGTTGTAGGCCTATATGTCATTCTGTCTTTAATAAAGTTGGTTAAGACCAAACAAAGTTTGTTTTTATGTGAGTGTATATGTAGAGGATGTACATGTATCACTAAGAAGAAGTGTGATGTTTCACCTGCTCTTAATCATGTTTCGTGTTTCGTGTTAAACACAACATTAAATTTGAAGTTGAGGTGTCCGATGAAATTCCATCCTCCCAACAACATTTCCCTCTCCTTTCTTCCCTTGATGTCTTTTCTTACTTTTCTGTTTCTTTCCCAATAGTACCCTGCTGTCCTGGAGGCTAGCGGGTAGAGCATTTCCAGTAAACAATACGTGTGTGTGGATCAGTGGGGTTGTTGAGTCTTCAAAATGGCACGAGTACATTGTCTGACAGGAGCAAGGAGAGGGCTTCCGTAATTGGGGGAGATGTCATTGGGCCCCAGCAGTTAATCACAACAGTGTGAGGAGAGGATTGCAGCTGTGGGGGACTCCTCACTCGGGGAAACTAATTTCCTACAAGGCTAAAATGAGTGTTTGTGCAGGAAATTCACAACCTCCTGTCACATCCACGGGGACTGTAACTGATATCATGATGATTGTAATCAGTACTGTCTGCAGCAGAGATAATTACTGTACCTGAAGAATAAATGTGTTCTTCAGGACTGTGCGTCCCCGTTACTTGAGTGGGATAAGCTGTTTAGATATAATTTGGCTCATTAATATTTAATGAGCCCCGGTTGTGGAGGAGGAGCCCAGTGATTGATGACATCTCTTGTTTCAGTAACACTAATAACAACTTTGATTGACAATATTTTAAGAGTTCATCTCCAAAAATGCTGTAAGTCAGTCGAGGCCAAAGCCATTATCCAAAGTTAGTCATTCAATAACACAAAGGAGCCAAAACTGGCCTCTTCCTGTCAACCGGGGAGATAAATTGCCTATTAGCCTTTGGAGTTCATGATAATTTTGTGCAATCAATCACGTTGTAAGAATAGGTGCCAAATGGAGGCTCATCTTTTTTTAGAATATAAAAGGTTATATTCACAAGGAGTCCTTGTTTCTTTTTGTGAAATGTGTTATGAGTTATTACTTTGTTGTAGTTTTATTAGGACTGCAGCTGTTTTCATTGTCCATTGTCCGAAGAGAAAAACTGTTTTACAGTCATTTAACAGCCTCTCAAAGTCTCTCATTAGCTTCACATATCAATGTATTGCACTTTTCAGAATAACCAGGATTATTTGAAAATGAAGATTGTTTTAATGTGAATAGTGAATAGCAGTCAATATATAAAAATATATAAATATATGCAGGATTTAAGTTCAACCAGAAGAAAGTATTAACTAGCCAGCATGATCTGTGAGTTTTTAGGTGAAACTGACAGGAACTATGAGCTCACAAAAGCTTAATAACCAATAAATAAAATACGTACAAAAATTTAAAACAACAAAGATTTACTCAAAGTAACTTTTACTCACACCAAACTAGGTCCCTAATCTTTCTGGCTTCATACAGGTCAAAAATCAACTTACCAAAGCATCAGTACCAATAAATAACATTATTTAGGGAACTTTCATTTCCCATTAAATAGAATGAGACACATCCAAACTTAGATGCTACCTTATTTTCTGGCTCGTCATAATAACACACGAGGAGGGATTACAATCCTCTTTGCCTATTAATAAGATTAATGAGATTGACCAATCAGTTTCTGTGCAAGCCTTACCTACTTATTAAACATTAGATGGGATCCTGGTGCTGCTGGGACTAATAGGGTATTGTATTATTTTTTCAATTTTTTCCGAAAATAGTAACGAATGCTTACCACAAATAACTAGAGGCTAGTATGTCCCAACTTATCTGCATTTAATTAATAATTAATCACCCTGATTATCCAGTCTATGTAGGCCTACTAGACTTTGTTGTCATTTTAAAATCACTTCTCCCACCTACCAGTCGAGTGTTCCCACCTTCTCATGTCTTCTTCTGTGAGCCTGCAGGATAACACACATACACAAACACACACACACGCTTACTGTTTTATTTATTTTATTTTTAATATATTTTTATTTTTTAACAAACACACACACACACACACACACACACACACACACACACACACAAACACACACACACTTACTGTTTTATTTATTTTATTTTAATATTTTTATTTTTTAACACACACACACACGCTTACTGTTTTGTTTATTTATTTTATTTAAATTTTTTATATTTCTTTTTTTTCTTATTTTTTTTAAACACAAACACACATACACTTTGATTACTTTACCCTTTAATTGTTTAATGAAATGTATGGGGCTGATTGTTCTTATGTTGTGTATACATGATGCTTTGGCAATGTTGTTATTACATTCATGCCAATAAAGCTAATTTGAATTGAATTGAATTGAATTGATCCTTTTTGGTTTAGTTTGCCTCCTTTGACTTCATACATGTTGCCCATTCTGCCTACTGACTTAGTGAAGCCTGCTTTTATCCTACAACTCATGTCTGCTGAGGATACATGTGGGTCTCTCAATCCAGAGTTGTTACACCAGGTGACATCTTAAGTTTTTGACCAGCTGTCCAAAACCAAAAGATATTCAATTAATGATGAATGAAAGCTTCTGAGACACTGGACAGGCGTGAGTGTGTTCTACCACTACATATCTACCTGAGAGTGTTTCCCCAACCAGTGCCGCTGGGGTATTTTTTTCCGAGAACTTTTAGAGACCTGAGAGGAGATTTACAAGTAAATGCTTTATTTTATTTTTTTTATTGGCTGATCGGCATATTTATTTATGTAATATATTAAAATGATTGAAAGGATTAAGCATTTTGTTCCTGGCATTGTGGAAAAGGCTTTGAAAAATGCTTATATCCTGCTGGGAAGAATAACTATGAGAATAGTGAAAATATGAAACAGTATTGTAGTTCAATATTTCAAATATTATGGCTACAGTCAACCTTAACTGTAACAATGGGGACCTGTTGTATTTTATTTAAATATCACATTAGGAAGAAACTGATCCTCTGGAATAATCCTTTACGCCTTTTCGGTGTTGAATAAAAGGTGTAAATGTCCATTCAATCTTGAATGAAGTAAATCAAAGGCATGTTGATGGACGTTTTCACATGACGTTTGGTTGTCAGTCCTCTAGAGATGTGTCAGTAGGTGTTAAGAGCTGATCTACCTACATAACAGAGCAGCAGAGTGATGTGAATTTCAAGGTTTTGATGAGCTTTGTTTCCAGTTGTTTGTCTCTGTAGCAGTCACACCAGGGCATGTTTTGATGGTGGGCAAAGAATTACTCACTGGAGGACCTATTCATTATACACACTCATGCGTGCGTAAGTAATTGTACTGTGAGTGTGTACCTGGATGCTGAATTGCAAGTATACACGTGTTAATGTGTGTTGTGGATCATCTGCTAGCCCTCCAGTTGTGGAGGTGGAAGTGGTGGTGTAGGAGCGCAACGGAGGCTCTCTATGAGTCATGGATGCTCGCATCACCAGGGGCTCGTCATGTAGCTATGAAGCCACCATTGAGGCCGGGAAAACTGTGTAGGAGTCCAGACCTGAGTGTGGCCTCATGACGATGGAGGAACAGGACCTTGTGGGTGGCTATCTGCCTACTGGCTGAGGTCTCCACCATGTCAAACATTACAAGACGAGTTGCTTCAACACATCAAGCATCACAGGAGGCTGAGCTTTCTCTAAATCAGGAAAACATGTAAACCAACTCTGCTTGTGCAAGAGTGATAACTTAAAGGGTCAGTTCAGAAAATAAGGTTTCCACAGTCTTCTTCAACAAAATGCCTCAGGTGCCATAACATGATTTAAGTTGGGAACTTCGGTCATGTAACAACAGGAAAGATGGTATTAGATGTAATTGGCCTGTTTGATTGTAATTTACGTCATTGACTTAGACCTCTTCCCAGCCGATGCCGTGACCCGTTTTGGTCTGGTGTTGCAACATATTCTCACTCCCAACTCGTCACACATTGACGCTCAGTCAACTCCCCTTGGTGCCGCTGTTTAAAGCCCTTTATAGTTGTTTTTGCATGTGTGGGGTCCCTGCGATGGATTGGCGTCCAGTGTGTCGACCGATGTCAGCTAGGACGGGCTCCAGTCCCCCCGTGACCCTGTACGCAGGATAAGCGATTGACGATGGATGGATGGTTTCCGCGGTAAATATACAACGTCCAGTTAGACCATCAGTTAACGTTGTGAAATTTTGCAATTTGTTTAGGTTTAGGCACCAAAACTACTAGGTTAGGTTTAGGAAAAGATAATAGTTTGGGTTCAAATAACTTTGTTACTTACATGACTTAAGTCAGGTAATGTTAATTAACTGAAAACCAAAATCAATGTTGACTTTTCTTTCACACAGGAAGCAAACACTGGGCTCACCTACCTGCCCAGGTCCTTACTTAAACTTTTCTATTATTTACATATACACCTACTTTTAGCGTTCAAAAAAATGCTAAAGGGCTTCGCCCAGTGCGTTACAAAGTGCCAAGGAGTCTTGACAATACATCCATGTGACAACTTGGGAGTGAGAATGGTTTAGGTGTTCACAAACAGGTGCTTCCAGTTTTCATTGTTTTTTTGGTTGAATATTTACCTGTGGTATCTAGCCATGCAGATAGTATTGTTTTCATTTCTCTAGACTCTGAGTACTATGGAGACAAATGCAATTTCGCTTGGGGTGTTCAAAGTGTTGAAAAACATAATTTAGAAAATTCAAGTGCAACATAAGAAATTGTATCCTGCTGTAAACTTTTTTTTGTTTGTTTTTTTACAGCATATATTAAAAAAAAAAATATATATATATATTACAGCTTCTTGATGGATATAGTTAACTTAACTGCTAACTGTACGTTAGCCTCTCTGTCTGTATCTGTGGCTAGTTTGCTCGGTTGGTTAACTTAGCTGTGCTGCTAGCGGTTCTACTACCTTACTCCGCCCCGGGGTGCCAAGAGCCAAGCCACCTCCGTACTGTATTCCCAGTGGTCAAACTGGCCTCGGTCGGTCTCGGAGGCTGTGCTCGGTCCTGGTCCAGCTGCCCTGTTCACTCACTGAGAGCTGGAACCAGTCCACACAGAGTCTGAATGACAGGGTGAGCGCGTAATGTTAACACACATTTGGCGCTACTGGCGACTGTAAATGCCAATCAATACCTGCGACACGTCCTTCCCCAGCTTTGTGTTACATATACCTATATCTACTGTTTATAAAAAAAAACATATATGGAGGCAAATAGCACTGTGTTTTCTGTTTCAGGGAAACTTTCTGCTTAAAGTAACCCCCATGAGTAATCCCCGACTTTTCAAAATGTACCTGTAATCTGATTCAATTTCTTTTGTATCCTGATTATGTACATTACATGTAATCTGCCAACCCTGGCCCTATGATGTATATCATGTATTCAAAATGTTGGGCACAGTAAATGATAGCTAAATTAAAACTTTGGTGTAAAACAAACTACATAATTTCTGGGATGCAACTAAACTTGTAATTAAAGCTTGTGTGTTCCCACGTGTGTGCATCTACCCGTGTGTCCATACACCTCTCCCACTAGGTGCACCCTACACACACACAACCCCTCATTGTGAGTCATTAATCCACCATGACACGCGAGATGTCCTCAACATCCCGCCCCCACCACCTCCAACACCTCCAGCACCTCGCTCTTCACTGTCACTGCGCAGGAAAGACAGATGAGCCAGTGACGGGGCATGCAGGTTTGTGCCAAGTGATCAGATCCTTTTCATCTCCTGTCCCTCCTCTTCCACGCCGCCTTCCATCTCGACCCACATGGCCCTGCCACAAAACAATGTGATTCATACACAGATCACCGTCTGAGGTTTAAAAATAAGTCCTGCCATGCCTTGAGGATGTGTCCCGCTGTCCCGCAAAGACAAACACAAAGATCCAACTGTGATTCTCACATGCACCACGGGAGATCCAGAGGACTCAGTTTACAGCAGATGCTGGATGTGTCTTTTACACCCATTTAAGGTTGCTGTTCTTTTATTGAGGTTTAGCTTGAAAAAACTTTTCTGTAATTAAATAATTTGCTTGTATAAATTAAACTTAATCTGATTTTTTTAGGGTAGGGAAGAGACATTGTATATAATACTTACAGTAACAACCCATCTGCAGACTCCGATGGATGTGTCAAGTAAACTCAGGACTTTTACTCAGGAGACTGAAGATCAAGTCCCATGTGAAAGAAAGTCACAGTTGACTTATTTAAAGTTTTGAGTTAAATAATGTTTCATAAGTGACTTACATAATCAACTTATTTTAACCCAAACCTATTCCTAAAGACTACGACCATTTCAAACTATTGAATATTCAATAAAAAAACACCTGAATAATAATAATAATACCAAAAACAACATAAACAATAATAATGGCAATAAAAGATCAGGATTCAGAGATGACTTTCATAAAGTTTTCTTCTTGACATAACTGCTCCATATTTAACTGTAAATTATAAAAACTGGTCTGGTGCTGGTCCTACTCACTTCAACATTAAAAGCCCCAAAACACATTTGCTCAGTCTGCTTCTTAAAGGCCCAAGATTAATACAGTTAGAGCAGTTTTGGCCATTTCAGATGGGAAAATCTATATTTGTGTTTTTGCTTGTGCTCCTCTAATTGATTTGAAGCTAGCAGAGCTCAGTTGAAAAACCTTTTTATTTATAGATATTATACAGCTGTTTTAAATTTTATATGTACTCTTTCTTTAGGGTTAAGCAAACTGATATGTCACAATGATTGATACAAATGGAACATCAGTAGTTACTGTATCTCCTCATGACAGGTTATTTCTCATAGTTAACAGTTTTCTTCTCTGACATTTCTCTATTTTAGTCTCCTGCAGCCCTCTATTGATCTTATATTTATTAGAAAGGCTATGAAAATGCTCTTGTTAACAGGAATCAATGCTAACATGTTTGCTTAACACAATGCCCTTTTGCAATGTTATTTGGTTGCATCACTGCCATATTAACAGAGACAAGAGTACTTGTCACAATGTAGACACTATATGGTTCACATATTACTCATTATGCCGAATTTATAGGGTTGAAAAAGTGTTAATAGTGCAAGAAATTATTTCCTTTTGGCTCAGGGAATATATTATTTCACCTTGGCTAATAATTATTTTGGAATTGGAAAATAACAGCTCTCAGTTTTTCTGCACGGGTCTGGAGTCAGCATTTGTTGCCATCGTGTTTCTCTCGCTTCCTGCAGAGCGTCCATTGATCTCTGTCAAAAAGACCACAAAAAGCCATAAAAGCATTTCAGGACAGTCGCCAAGATGTGCATATCCTGAAGTGGTCATGATGCATGAAGCTTTTAAAGCCCAGGGTTTCTCCGATGACATGTCTACATGAAGAAGAAGCAAACAAACCTGAGACAGAGATGATTACTACGCACAAATGCATCATGGGACTGTCTTGTACTAACTTCCCGAGGGATTAGAAATGTTGTAGCAGAAACACAATGAAAAACAGATTGAAAATCCTTGTCTCAAGGTTCTCAGCAGACACATTACAGTTCAGAAACACACAAGCACACACTTAACTTTCATATAAATATTTATTGCAGAGGAGGTATCTTTTATGTACATGCTATCACAATATAACACAATATAAATCTACCAAATATTCCCATATATTGATGCTATAAGCTTGTCATAGAGCAATAGTTAACAAGCACATAATACAGTGGGTTGGGGACAGTATCACTCACTATACAACTTGTAACAGTCCATAAAAGATCATTTTTTTCTTTTTTGTTCTATCAAGGGCAGTGAAACATCATCCTATTTAGTTTTCTTGAATTCATGCAGAAGCCACAAGATTTACGACGTTACAGCATTGAATAGTAGTAGTAGCAATAGTAGTAGGTGTATTTGCCATCGGGTGACTTGGTTTGGTCACAAGAGAAGAGAAGTCAGGTTCAAATGAGCCAACACAACGCACCATGGTACAGATCCGATTGGTGGACAAAGAGCTACAGGACGCAGTATTTTCTATGTCAAGATGGTACAAGAACAATGGTTGAGGTTCAAACTGTTACTGACTCATTGATGATACGGCTAAAATACAATGATAATCTCCAGAGAAACAGACAGTAAGACACTGGTTATGTATACACAATTTAATACACATACAGCAATGGACTGACTGAACTGAGGAATGCTACAGCAAGCATACAATTTGAAATTATGTAAATTAAACAACAGAGTAGATTGACTGAAAATGTGTATAATGGTGGGATATTGCATTGTTACTATTTTCTGCTCTGAGACAGTACAACTGTAATCATGTTTCCTTGTGTGCTGTATCTGCAAATCTCATGGGCCAAGTGTGTAAAAGTTTAAAATCAACATAAATAATTACCTAAATAAATGAAAATGTGTTTTGACACAAGAAAAAAAATAATTCTTTGCTGGAAAATGTTGTAATATATTGCTTGTTATGCTTCTTTCTTTTTGAACAAATGGATTCAATTTGACCAAATTTAAAACTGTTTCAAAGCTCAACCTAAGGCCATGTAGAACATGTAGATTTTCTACATAATTATCATGAAATAAACACATCTCCTCATGTAAAATAGCTTTCCTACAAGGACAAAAAAAAGAGGCTTGCTTTAAAATATACAGCATATTATTCATCTCCCAGGCCATTAAAATCCAAAGTGGCAGTGATTCCAAAGACTAAAGTCAGTTTTAAAAAAAAGAAAGGGGTTGAGAAATGTCGTCGTGGTCACACTTCATCTGCTACCACAATGCATACAATGGACGACGCCTAACGTCTGATTCATAAATATCATAGAGATCCATGAAAGCATTACAATCCATCCATCCACGCACGCAGACAGCTCTTCTTCAGACACCATTCCTAAAGGAGCTCATAAAGCAGAGCTGATGACAAATCTCACACTGTAAGGCAAACACTCAACGTTCAGAATATTTCAGAGGAGCCCCCCACAGGTCAATGGCAGAGGTCATTTCTCAGCAGGGGGGGGCAGATATAGGACGTAGCATCTAAATCATGTTTATTGAGCCCGGCTGTGGGATTGTATCGGCGCGTTAAACAAAATCTGATAAGACTGGCTGCAAATATTTGTCACTGGATTAATTTCAGTCGGAAATTTTGCAGTTGATGAACTGTGTTTTGACTTTAAAAATCTCACTGACAACACAGATTTATTTATTTATTTTTACCACGATTAGTAAGGACTCCTACAGAGCTCAGTTATTTTGTCACAAGGAATTTGACAGCAATTATACATAATTACAATCAGTGACAACATTCAGCGATACCATGTAATTCTCACAAGATACCGTAAAGTACTGTAGATGATATATTGATACATAAGTTTCCTGAAATAATTGTCAGGTGTTTAATAAAAAGTGGGAGAGTTCTTGTTTTCACTACAATCCCAGCGTGGATAGTGCTTGATGAATATTTTAGACATTTTGATACAAAACACCGAACAAATTGAAACCATCAGAAGGTTCAGTCACATTGTTAATTGATAACCTCATTGCTAAGTCTAATTCTAAAATTATCAGCTTGATCAATCAATTGGGCTTTAGCCTACTTGCATTAAACTGGGAAGAACATGCATTACGCTACTTGTGAACTTTCAATACAGAAACAGAGAAAAACTGATGAGCCGTACAATGCTTCTCCTTAAACATTTCAAAATATTAAAGGATAAGCTCTCATGTAATTGCTGTATAGTAATATTATGTGAAAACGTTATAGGTTAGATTCGTTTCATAAAAACCTGGGTTTTATTTTTGTAGTTATGACCATTGTTTAATTTATGATAACATTGTACTCAACAAAGTAATATCTAAGGTCTGGAAACAAGGCAACATCGCTACAACAAAGTCTGCGAAGATGAGAAATGTGACTGGTCACATGATCAGACAGGTCGTAAACAAGGCAACAGTGCATCCAAAATGTCAGCGATAATCTTGACTGGTTCCAGGCCCCTTTAAATTGCCACCTACATCTCTAGTTTATTAAGAAACTAATTTCATGGTGTCTGGTCTTGTGATCACTGGCTACTGTTTCCCTCAGGTGGAGAAACAATCAATCAATTAATGCTTTTTAGATTCGAGTAGGAACAGCAACGTCATCTTTCTGCGCAAGAGCCGGAAATGTTCAACATCCATGAAAAATGGCAACACAAAACAAAAAGTAAATGGTGGATAAGATCAAAGTTGCAGTACAGTCTACTGTAAGTCAACAACAACTATAAAACAGTGTTAGCATATCTCTTTCATTGTCGTAAAAAACATTAATCTAATTGCTCCAAGCACCCACTACCACAGCTTTCTTGTTGACTCAAAAAATGACAGTAGGGAGACAGATGCATCACTCACTATTGATTATTTAGGGAACCGCACCCCAAAACTAACATGACCACTATATCAAGCTGAAGGCATAAAGTGAAACAACATGACAGCTTAGTTATCAGGCTCTAATAACCTCTCACTGAGCGGGAAAACTGTGCACACACAAATACATTAAGTCTGGTAGGTCAAGCTTGAACCAGGAAGTCGGTAAACTGTGGTTGATGTTTACAACTGACAGGTTGGCTAATAATATTTACCACTTTATTTTAACACATTACCGTTTATATGAATCTGACTGCTCGTGTTTGTTGCTGAACTGGACTTTGTTGTAGGGATGTTGCCTTGGTTCCAGGTCTCAGCAAGTACAATGTTATTGTTACCAGTTGGATCAGAAATGCTCAGAAAATAAGTTTTAATAATAAATCAATATTATACTTTAAGCAGCAGGTTCTATCAGCTGTTTGTAAATGAAAATGGTGACCTGCTCAAGTCTTCAGTTTTGGTGTTTAAGACGGAGGGAATATGAGGACAGAAAGTGCTGCTTGATCACGCATGAGACTCCAGAGACTCTTGAGGTACTTCATTACATTTTCACTTGATATTGTGTCCCACATACACACACACACACACCTGGTGCAAGCAAACACAAAGACCCATGCTGGATTCATAAACAAAGCTGGTGCAACTCGTTTCCTTAGTATTCCCCCAGTATTACTTTATACCTACTTTTTACAGTGTTCATATGAACCAGTTTGACACTGCTGCTCTCATATGTCCTTTACCACCCTGAATGAGCTTTTGGAAATATGAAAGCAGGAAAAGAAGTGCCTCTGTTTAAAAAAAAAGAAATCAGCATTTTATATTTGTAAACCCATTAACTGCTTTAGTTGACAAACCGGTTGGGTCCAGCTACTCTCGATACCGTGCATGCTGTTTATATAATTTACCGTCACAAAGTACTGAAGAAGAAGACACTTGCTTCACTTCAGACTGATACAAGACAATACTAGTTAGTTAGGCACATACAGTACATCTCTGCAGACTTGGAAGCATTTTAATCTGCAGAGAACTACAATTAAATAGATCTAAACAAACAAAAACATGTCTAAGTTTGGTCAGTGTGTGATATCATGCCTTGAGGTTTAAAATAAGAAGACAAAATGTACAAGAAGAACAGAGTCTTTCCCCGGTTCATTATTTATGGAGTTGGCTAAAGTGCTATAGACTGATTTCCTCACTGAGTGGGACATAAACTAATAAATTCACTTTACTGTCTTACGACAAACATCCTTTTTTGCAAATGTTCCCTTATTCTTTGGATTTCACTTTTGCTGTTTTGCACATCACCCTCAATTTCATATTTCTTTTTCTTTAAACCTCCTGTTATCATGTCATATACTAGTCCAAGAAGTGATGATGATAATGCACAAAAAGAACCATGTACGAATCATTGACTGAACATGATAAACGCAGGTTTTCAACATTGCTTGTGAAGTGAAAAGGCTGAATCAAAAGTTGCATAATTTGTCTAAGATTTATCCTCAGGACTTTCCTGTAATAATCTGGAATGCTCATCATAACTGTTTTTGTTTTTTGTACATTTTACTTATTTTCAAAATAACAAAACCTTGGAAAGGAAGGCAACTTGTGGAACTTGATCAACTTTTCTTCCAAGTCACCGCACTAATAGTAAAAGGTAATATATAACGATTTCCAAGTGAAAAAAAGTAAACATCAATAACTATAATTTCAGTGGTCCATTAACGTTGAGTGTCATGCCTTCTTGCTCGATGTGCTATCCTCAAAGTCCCAGGGACAAACATCTGCCTTTTTAGCAGCACTTACAACCCCGCCTTTAGGATTTGGACTGCTCTGTTTCACTACAGAAACACTTTTGTCTGTACCTTTTTTATCTGATGTATCCTCAAAATCCCACGGACAGACTTCAGCCGGCTTTGCTTTGGCTGCTCCAACATTCGCACTTTTTCTTTTTTCTACCATCGGCACTTCTTGATGACTCTCTACATCCCATGGGCATACCTCAGCCATTTTTTGCTGGCTCACTTGTTTCTCTGAAGATTTACTCTTGTCCTTAGCTTGTGTTTTACTTTTCTCATCATCAGTGTCTTTTGATTTCTCTTTCTCAACTGTTCTTGTAGAAGGGGCACCCTTCTTTTTTAAAGGGGATTCCTTGGTTTTGGATGCTCGAGAGGGACTAGGTGTCCTCTGTCCAGAATTTGGGGATGTGGCAGTGCTGTCGAAGTCCCAGGGACATACATCAGCTTTTGAAGATGGTGGCTGGAGTGAAACTACAATTTTGGATGGGTCTGAAAGGGGACTTCTCCCTTTCACATCCACAGGAGAGGTGCCTTTTATTTGTTTTGTCATATCTGGTGAACAAGCTAACTCGGTTGTCTTTTGGGCCTCTTCGAAGTCCCATGGACAGACCTCTGCCCGATGTGTTTTGGAGCTCTCTGTTGTAGGCTTCTCGGTTTTAGCAAGTTTGCTAGCCTGACTGTGGATTTGTTGCTTTGACCTTTCCACTTGACTGCCTTGACTTTCACTTCCATCTTCCCACGGACATACCTCCGCTCGTACAGCGGTTGTCCTCTGATTTTCCTTTGAATGCCTGACACTTGATGGCGATTGATCAGAAGCTTTCTGCTTCTGAGATTTGCTTCCCTTGGTGCTACCTCCATGAACGGTTGTGGTTTCCTTTGGTGCAATAGAAACATGCTTTTGGACCTTGTTTTCAGACGGTGTTGGGAGATCCTCCACCTCCCAGGGACACACTTCTGAGAGATCGTAGAAATCCTTAGCCTTTATCGGATCGGGACAGATTGTAGACTGGCTGCCACCCACTGGCTGTTTCATGATCCTACCTTTTGCGGCACTCTGTTTATACTCAACAGACTGGCTAATAATCATCTTGGGTTGGCATTCATTTTCTGGCTCTGCATTGGCTCTATCTTTGGTCTTTGGCTGACTCTTCTTATTGCTTTCCTCTGTCCCCTGGGTCTTTCCTGTCAAGCCTAAAGTCTTCTCTTTGGCACTGGCAATAACACTGAGGGACTTCTGCAGCATGGACGGTCTAGGATGAATTGGTTTCTTGTCTGCAGTGAGGTTATGGGCGCTGGCTGACTTGCAGACCAAAGGAACTGATTCCGTAGATTCACTAGGGGCGTTCATATTCTCATTTGACTTCTTCTTGACCAGCTTCTTGCCCATAAGTGTATCCAGGAGGGAGCCTTCAGCTGTGGTCACCTCCATTTTGTCTGTCGCTGAGCTGCTGGAGTCTTCACTCTGGTCACGGACGTGGTCGTAGCTGCTGTGGGACTTCTTGAGGGAGAAAACTTTGTTCTTTAGCGTCTCCTCCTTCGCTGGCTTTCCTGGGTGAGTAGGATCGATCTTCTTCAACATGCAAATGCTGTTACGGTTGCCCCCGTGTTCTCCGGCCTCCTTGTCTTCACGGCTGCATTGCCGGTGCACTGATTCTGGAATCTCAGTGATGCGCCTCATCAGCGAGCGACCCAAGCCTTTCTTGGAGCTCCGCTTCTTCTGCAGATGAGGGTTGTTTGCCAGCATCTTTTTCCTTTTGTAAATCTCCAACTGGGAGTAGAGTTTCTTCAGCTCCTCCTACATTTTCATGAAAGAATTAAGGGAAGGACAGAGACAAAGTGATCAGGTACCTGTTTAGAGCAAACAACTGCATTTATACAGCTTAAAAAAGGGACTGCTAATCAAACACTGTTACAAAAAAAGCAGACATTCTACTGCACAGAGATCATGCAGTACAAATGCATGACACGTCTACAATCACATGCGTGCTAAAAAAGCAAAGACAGGACAGTCTTGGACAGCATCAAATAAGGAAATTGAGTGTGTTTTAATGTTAGGTCTGAAACAGCCTCTAAGCTTAGGTCTTGAATTTATCTTATGTCTATGTCCATCCGATACAATCAGTGCTCTGAAGTAGCAGGATTTCACCGTAAGAGCACTCCCTCTGGAAAAGAGACTTGCCCAAATCTTTTGGTAGAGAGACTTCTTCAGCTCTAACAGACAAACAGAAATCTCTGCTCACGTTGGTACGTTTTTCCCAAAGACTTTCGCAAGACCTTACGCCACAGCCATTAATAGAACTGAGATGGCCCATTTCGTCTGGTGTCTGCAATAAAAAACTGCCATGGCTCAGTATTTTTGGGGGGTCAAAAGATTTCACCAGGTTATACAATGGAGAATCAAAGGTTAAAGGAAACACTGATTACCCGAATGTCCTCAGGATCCAGACTGTGCTCGCTCCACGCTGATGTGATGCTGCTATTGAGGTATGACCCAGAACGACCCATGTCCAGCTCGTCCTCATAGGCCTCAGAGGCTATATCATCCCTCATGTGGGTGACGGGAAACAGGAACTGGTGGAGTGGCATAAAAAAAGAACAAAATTGGTTGTTTCAAAAATAAAATATCTGTGAAGTTCTTAATAATGGTGAAGATCTTAAAATCTGACAATACGGTTTAGTACTGCTATACTATAATTGACTGTATCTTCCAATATTGTTTTAATAATACTATAAAACTTTTAAATTTTCAACAAATCTCATGAAAAGATCAGAGCCATCAGTGTGCAAGTTCATCAACTTCATCAGTCTATCTGTGGCTCTATATATATTACAAAGGCTAAGCTATTTACAAAACAGCTGGGCACTGTAGTTCTTAACAAATGTTACTTGAATTTGTTCGGGACTATTTTCAGCTGCGCATTAATACACATTTGGTATTTGCAGCACCACAATGGTGAATGTGGGATTGACTCAAAATAAACTGCAGTTCCCATGTTTATTGTAATTAAGGACCTTGTCCAACAGTGGGGCTCACTGATGTGTTTTTAAGTGTTTTAGGACAACAACGGAGATCTATGGCACAGAGGAAGAACATATATTAGGCTCTGGATACACACACAATACTTATTATTAGAATCATGTGATTTGTTGACATTACCCAAAATATATAATATGGACAACTTCATCCTTTAATTTATATTTAATTTATACTTTAACTTAATTTATAACACTCTCAGCAAGTTGCAAAGTGCTTAACAACAAACAAAATGCATAGATTAGAAATTAGGTGAAATAATGAAATATTAAAAAATGAAATTAAAAGGAAGAATACAACTTAATTTAGCATTTTGTCAAATAAACAAAAGCAAAACTTTCATTTGGAAAAGTAGAGTAACATGTGAAACATGACTTGTGAGGTTTACCTTAGGGATTATTAGCAGGCCCAGCGTTACTGTTACAGTTAAGTGGGTGTGGGTGAAGAACAGCAGCAGCATCCAATCTGGATGCAGCTCCGGAGCAAGAGTGAACCTGTCGGGTTGTAACGAGAAAACAATGAGGAAAGATATACAGGACGTGAAAACCAGAAAAGTGAAGTAAATGTATTCTAGCTTAATCTACACTGGCTGCAGATGGTGTTATTATTGGTTATATTACAGTATGTATAATAATAATGCAGGGTCATTAATCCACCTCACCGTGTTCATTGACAGTGTATATTAATATCTGTGCTCACATTCTTTTTCTAGTACAAGGATTTTGCTAATAAACACATCGTAAACATCTTTATGATAGCTGATCTATCAAATTCCAAATGTGCATACAGTAAATGCAGTGAAGTTTGACTACATTATGCTGTGATATTTGTATATGCTGCTCTGTCTGCAGTAAACCTCTTAGATACAGATGGAGGCCGGAGAGACACAGGCCAGCAGACTTAATGTGTTTCCAGCCAAAGTAGATTTATACCCTATCTGTCTAGGCGTCAATTCCACTGGCTCATATAATGTTCCACTTGGGTGATCCTTCTGCCAGCAAGGACGCAATATTTTCCCCATTCTTTCAATTGGATTCACAGTAAAGGGGAGTGACCTTGATCTGGTCACAAGATTCTGCCTATTTATACATCAGGCAGGAATACAATGGGCTGACAGTGGCGCAGCAGTTGGTAGAAAATGAGATAATTACTGGCAGAAACAAAAGTAGCTTTAGATTTTTATTTTAAAAGAACTAGCAGGCTTCCAGCACAGTGAGACCTTATGCACACTACGGATATGAAGGTATGGCAGATGCTAATTCAACCACTAGAGAGCCGCTATCTGAGCAAATGCCATCTAGCAGGCTCATTATGCTGTTAAAGTTGGCAAATCGCTAATTAACGAACAGTTCTTGTGGTAATCACTTAGAGGCATGAATGAAGGCAAAGGTCCAGCATATGAAATGTCCCAAAGCTTTGAAGTCTTCCCTCATTCATGTTGTGTGAGTAGTTTCTGTGCAGATGAGGATTTAATAACCCTGGCATGCTGTCTCCTCTTAGCCTGCAGCATCTCACTGAAACACTACCCATCACTCACGCTTCCACCTCCAGCTATTACATCCCCTTCATTTTCTCTCAGCTTCCCGTTCACACCTGGGCCCGGCTAAAACCGTGATGACTATCACAGCAAACAAGGAAATCTGAGCTTTAACTGGTCACTGTGGGATCAAATAGCAGGTTGTGTGAGTAACATAAATGGACACCAGGTGCCTCTAACAAGCCCCTGATGACACTGTGGCCTCTGGTGGCAGCCAGTCAGACTAACTAGCAACACCAGGCAACTTTCCAATTTATTAGAGGTCTCGTCTGGCCATTTTCTACAGAGAAAAGACTCGCAACAAGCCTGAAGAGGCTGATTAAAGGAGTTGGCAAAGTAATCACAAATAGCCAGATGTTCAAATACAATCTTATAAACTCAGATTTCTACCAAGAAACTATCAGACTATATGTTGATGATACACAATTTATAGGTAATGCATGTTAATTTATAACTGGAATATGGCTGCCAAAAATTCAAGCTATTTATGCCGTCTTTAAAAAAACACATAAATCATTCTGACATGGTTCATTAGTAAATAATGTGATGGAGCTGAGCTCTCAATTAGGGGGACTCCAGCTAGGAAAAAGCTGTGGCGGTGTTACCCGAAGCATCTCATTTATAAACTGCATGGTGCAGCTATTCGACGTGCATGTTTTGCCGATTTCACTGCAATAAAACAACAACTCACATATGAACAGAGGGGTTGAGCCTCACGCGGCAGCCTATATGTGATGGAAATGAGACAATCTGCTGGAGGACATAAATGTCAAAATGACAACAGTGGAGGGCAATCAAAGACTATGATATTAAATATGGAGCTAGTAATGTGGAACATGTTGTCATCTGTGTTGAAGAAGATGTTTTTGTTGCTAATTATGTTTGTTTTATCCTCCTTGGAGCCCTAGACTGGTGGGGGTTACTGCACCAGGACTATTAAGATATTACCAAATAAATATAAAAATAAAAATTGTGTAAGTTTAAAGGGTCAGTTCACAACAATATATCCATATAGCTTGTAGAATCTGGACATGCAGATCATTTTTAGTTTTCTTTGCTGAGGTTTTGAGATATCTACCTCTGATATTTATGCCTCCACAACAATGAAGGTAAATGGAATTTACTTTGTGATAAATATTTTGTCATTAGGTCTGTAGATTATCCACAGTAACCTTTTTTGGAAAGACACATTGCTATTAATGTTCGCTTGTTAAAAATGTTTTTGTAGTAAGTGCAGCATACAGCGTATTCAAACATGTCAATGGCAACAACAAACCTAGTATTTGTTTTTTGTTAGGCACAGGTACACAGGTGCGGAGTATACTATAAAAATAAAAGTATAAAAAAAGTATATAAGTACATAAAAGTATATAAAAAGTATGGAGTCAACAACAAAGAGCCACAATACAAACAATACCAAATAAAAAGGAGGGTGTCTTGTTTTCTGGTTTATGTATACATTTGTTAGTACCTAAAACATAGAGAGACTAACATTGCCAATTTTAAGAATTAACAATCAAGTTTTCAAGATATTCCACATAGTCAATTGATGGAAGCTAGATGTTGTTTTTTTTACATGAGACTGCGACATTTTAAAGAAGAACTAACACATTCCGCCTCAAACAAATAAAAAAGGTTTCTTCATAAGTAATAAAACACACCCTTACTCAATACCGTACACTCTGGTATGACCAGTAGCTTCTAGTTAGCTAATGTTAGCAGTTTACTGACTTTATGCTTCTTTTCTACTTGTGCTAATGTTACAATACATTATAAAATAGAATATACCATTATCCTGTCATTGTGACCTGTGGCCACAGTAGCAGCTTTTAATCCAAAGTTGTATGGCTTTAATAAACCAATTTAAAGTGAAAGTTTTAAGTTTCTAAATTTCAAGACACATAATAACCCCATTTTATAACAGAGAGAAAGTAAGAACCTTTACACTTGAAGTATAAATTGTCAAGCTACTTTGACTACTTGACTGATATTAGGATAGATAGACCTACAATATCTAGGGCAGCGGATGTCTGTAATGAAAAACAATATTTTAATGTAATTTTTCAATGCTGTGAGCACCACAATTTAAATTGCATCCCCCAATTGTAATCTGTGAAGCACATCTCAAAACCAACACTAATAAAACTTTCTGCATAAATAGACTCCACGAATGGTGAGTGAACAGGGGGCACTGAACCTTTAAGTTGTGAGTCATTTTAATTCACATATACCCACTAAGGACGTGGGGGAGGAGTTACTACCTGATAACATAGAATATCCCCGTCAGGATAAGTTCGTTGTGAACAGCGATGGCCATGTAGCGAGGCTCGTGGAACGCCGACGGCACCGTCCTCACGGCGTAACACAGGTACACTGCCCACAGCAGGAAGAGGAACTCGGCTGTGAAGCAAGAATGAGAAAGAGGCAGTGAACACATTTTTCTTCACAGGCCAAAAAAAGGGACGTGCACCCACCAAACAGCCACTTCACAGCTCAATGCTTTCACAGAGCTGGTGCTGACTGTTGTACACACAGGTGTACAGGAAAATATCCTGTTTAACAGAAGCTATCAAACTCGTTTGTAATAGCTGTGGTATTCTCTGGACCAAAAATGAATCCCTGTGCACCTCCATGGCAACCCCATGTAACTTCTCCTAGGAAGCAAACTCCACAGCAACAAACATGCAACATTTTCTATACAAACCTGCTGCCATTATTTTGACATTTATTGTGCTGCCTGCTTGAACTGTGGGGCTGTCAGGTCCTAGTGAATCACATGTATTCCTCACAACAGCAGATGCAACTGGCCCCTCACAGAAGAGATTTTTGTTGGGTTGTGCGAGGGCTTGTGAAGATCAAAATATTTAAAATTAATGAAAGGACATTTACACTGCAGTATATAGAAAATACTGATTTCACCTTAATGCATCAAGGAAATCCCCGGTCAACCCACAGTGCCACTTTCTTCATCTAGTCGATGCGCGTAGGAGCCATTATACATTCCAAAATCTATGTTTTGTCCCCCCCACTTCACACGCGATTTCGGAGTTGGATCATAGCCGAGGTGGTTTGAATGACTAATCAATCAATTAATCAATCACACACTCCGCATTAGACATGATTAAATGGTTGAAACGCAGACAAAAATCATGTAGGCCTATAGAAAACATGACACAAGGCAAAGGTGGTGCTGGTTAAGGGAGAAAGTGCCTCAATATTATGTTTCTTTTGTTCTGCTGTTACTTATAGCCTACCTGAAGATAGCAGTGAGGACTCCTCCTGCAGGGTGGGTAGTAACTTCTTACAAATTATGCAAATTTGCTAAATAAATAAATAAAATAACAAAAGTAATTGCCACCTTTTGTTCCTTTTTTAAAAGTGTACTTTTACTTTTTACTCCAGTATTTTCTGTAGGCCAGTAATCTACCTTTTTTTTTAGAACGCTACATTTTCCATTCATACCTTCATAACTTCTGTAATCTGCATTTGCTTCATTAACCGAAATGATCCAGGCTGTGTGCGCGCAGTTACGCGGGAGGTCGGAGCTGGGAATGACGTCACACCTGAGTTGACGGCTTTCCAGTTAACAAGTTGGAAAACCTCGCTCGGCCAGTTGTTTGTTTACAACTAGTCAGGTTAGCTATTGATACGCCGGTTGATTAAAAAAATGCATTGTGCGGTATTTACTCACACTAAACACTGTAGCAACACGTCCACAGACAGCACTTTGTGTACGAACATTTATATGAGTCACAAGTACACAGAAGTGTTAATCAACAGTATAAACTACAGCTTTCACTAACTGTTGAAACCCCGACAGCCATCTTGGATCACGAAGTCGGGATTCCGACTTAAGTGGGCGTTCCTTTTGAAATTTTGACCTTTGACCTCGGAAATTCTGACTTCCCATGTCAACTGGAAGGCAACATAAAGCGCTTGTCACAGTCACAGATCTGGCCAGATGCAAACATTTAGAAAATCAGGCAAATGTTTGTTCAGTTTAAGGCTTTATTGTTGGCACTGGTAGCTGTGTTGGAAAGCAGCCTGCGTCGTTCTTTAACAAGCTGGAAAATAAATACTTTCACTTTCCATTAACAGCGTATTAAACACGTATTTACTCTCTGCAGAGCAAACGTAGACTTTACACTGTAACATAAGTTAGATGATAGATTGATTCTGATATATTAACAGTATCCTATATCCTGTTGTTGAAAAGAACATCGCTTTCTTTTGATGGATATTTAGTGTTACTGCCACAATAATTGTTTGCGTTGTGAAGATTATTTAGACGCTTTAGGAGTAATCAGATTGAATTGGCTTCTTGTGCTATTGCAAAGCAAGTGGTTTGGTTCGCTACATGTCCATAAAAAAAGACACATGCAACAATAGTGTCTAGGCAGCAAGTTCATATTTTAAAGTGATCTTATCAACACCTTCATGGAGATTTAAAAAGGAAAATAATTGTTTTAAACAGAAATAGCTAAAGATAATCAACCAGCAAAGCAAACTGCATTCCCTAGAAATAACCATGTTGCAGCTGTTTCTGACCAGATGAACAGCAGATGAAATATATTATTACACTTTTACTTGAGTAGGTTTGTAATCTTTTCCTCTAACTTTTTATGGGAGTACTCTACCCGTCACTGACCAGCGGCACCAGTACTAGTGCTGACATCCCATAGGAAAGCAAAATCCAAGATGAGATCTCATAGTTGTTTCCTTGTTTTCTCCTAGACACAAATGAGCTGCTTTTAATACCAAGGTGAGACCAAAGGCCTTTTCTCCCACTTCTCAAGTTCATCTCAGGAGAAACCACCATATAAAATCTCATTTATGTCTGATTCTGATCAAAACAAGAGATCTCCAACTGATCTTAAATAAGTCTAATTAAAGTCTCCTGAACATTGGACCATGAGATCAGAGAAAGAGCTCAAAGAAAACTCAGCTAGTCTCAGTTTTCTCATATTGGAATATGGATCAGAAAAAAGCTCCAAGATATTTTATATTATTTATATATTTATATTATTTGTCTGTGTTATTTTACTGATGTACTTTACTTACGTCAAATGTTGAGTATTTTCTTTTTATGGGGGTTTGTACTTTTACTCCCCTTAATTTCAAATCCTTACTGTATTTATTGTTAATTATCTGTACAAGTTAATGAGAAAAATAAAATAAATTTTGACATTGAAAATAATGCACTTTCAAATGTCATGTTTTCCAATTGGTTAAAGTCACAGCCAGCATAACTGGAACACCCAATACTTTGACATGATGTTTAGAGATTAATTCATTAAGGACCGAATGCACACAAGAACTGAGATACAACATGTATCTGTCATACAGAATGAGCACTTTTACTTTTGATACTTAAGTACATTCACTATGGAATACTTTTATACCTTTTACTTGAGTAGAATTTTGAGGACTTTAATTGTGGATATGGTATTTCTCCTCTTTTAAGTAAACGAAAAGTTTACTCTATTTAAAGACCAGTCCTTCAATATTGATATGAACAGCAGAAGTGGGGTTCAAATCCAGCTCAGGGCCTCCAGCATGGTTCAGGCATAGAAAGCAATGTAAGACAATCAAGCTCATGAACATCTCCCCAGAGCTCCCAACTGCTTTTTAGGAGCAATAAGCAAGACGTTAATGAACTCAAAAAGATACATTGATGAGATCTCATCTGTTACTTTAAATTTTATCATATTGTAATCTCAACTCAGTATCCATTTGTCTTACCTAAATCTCAAAACCCCAATCTCTCTTCACATCATCCTTTTCTCCTAAGGGGTTTTAGGAGCAACAATTCAGATTGGAGTGATCTCAAAAAGAGACAATGATGAGATCTCATCTGGGGCTTCCAATCTCCTATTGTAATCTCAATTCAGTATCCATTTGTCTTACCCAAGTCTCAAAACCTCAATCTCTCTTCATCTCATCTCATCTCATCTCATCTCATCTCATTAGGAGCAACAATTCAGATTAGAGTGATCTCAAAATATATACTATTGAGATCTTAGTGTTTTCTCAAGAGTTAAAGAAAAGACCATTCTGAGCAAAAGACTTTTCCTCTGGGATGGTGAACATGAGACAGACAGCAGAGATGAGGGAAAGAGCAGAACAGAGTCAAAGCCAGCACAGGCCAAAGCACCAGTTTATGGTAAGATTCATGAAGATATGGCTTATTTATTTATTTATGCTATTCAAGGGCTCAGCTGAGTTGATTTCTTTACTATAGGAGAGTTAAACAGGTGTTTTAAAGGCTCATTTAGTTAAATACTCTACTTGCATAAAATTCTCAAGAATACAGGAATAAATGCCCCAGAGCCCCCGACAAATGCTTTGTTTGGAGAGTGGGCTGACCAGGGACAAACTCCTGGGCCACTTTTTAAGAAACTTGTGTCCGGTATGTGCCTCTGCTAAGTGTCCATAAACAATTGAAAAGTAGTCACTTGTCACACAGAGATGAGCATCCTGCAGTATTAGAGGAAGAGGTCGCAGGAGCAGGAGTAGAAAGAACTGAGGAGGACGTGTTGTAAGTTGTATGGATAGCTACTAAACATAGTAGGCTATATTCTAAAACTCGCGTAGTAAAAACGGCCAACGGCATGTCATCAGAGTTTGCATTGAAGACAGTTCTTTGTTCACAAACATTTGTTGCATTTAACATTTAATACGCATGTTTATCTCAGTAATATGTTGTTTTAGATGGACTGTTTATATTTAGGTTATTCTGTATATTTCAATATACACATTATTTAACACTGCCAGTAATGGTTTGATTAGATCCGCTGTTAATTAGGATGATATATTGGCCCTTGCCAAAATGCCAGATATCGGCCCAATCAATTGGTCTATCACTAATATAGTATAACTTATATATAATTATATACAATATATATGCCAAAAGTCACATAAATACTGATAATTTTTAATTAGATAGCCTTTAAAAGGGGTTATAAATTGCAATTATTGGCTTCATTAAGAGCTAATAAATAATTGAATAAAACTTAGTAGATCCATTTTGTTTGTTTGTTTTTAATAGGAACAATTTCTTGTGTACCAGGTTGTGAAAAACCTCTATGGCTGGTGTATATCCTCATCCAACATGACACTTGCAGCTGGACCTTAGTCCTTATGGTGGCTTACAAAAAAGTTGTGCTAATTATTTTTCACTTATATGAAAATAAGACATAAAGGATTCGATTACAGACAAAAATCACTTTACCAAGAAAGTGAGAAAGTCACGGTACATATACTAAATGGCCGTGGCATAAAAAACGCTGGAGGGTCAGCAAGAATATGAGAGAAATGTAATTAAATGGAATATAATATTATAGATGAAATGCACACATCGTTGCCACGCTGAAACTGCAGTTTTGCTGTGCATAAACGCTTACTGGTTTGAAACTGGCTTTTTTCAGACCACTGACAGCGAGTGTATGCAGGTGCGAATTTCTAAACCAGAAAGATTTATTGACTGTGTGTGTGTGTGTGTGTAATTTATGACCTGACTGACTCGCAACCTCCCTCCTTCTAGCCTATTTTTGCTTCCTAATAAACATAATGAAACTGTGCCTTCAGTATACAGTATCACAGCATGTAGGCTCTGCTGGGGGTCCATCTGTTTTCCCAGAAGTCAAAAAGGACCACGGGTCTCTTTTATGAAGCCTGAGTCAGCAGGCGTAAAACAGCATGTAGATTTCCTCAACGCGAGATGCTGTTCCCCCTCTGAGCATCTTTGATCTGCTGCTGGTTGCCATCTCCTCCACACACAACACAGGCAAACATCCAAAAGTGTAGCGCCGGTGGAGAGGATTAATGTCTACTTTTGGGAAACATAAGAGCATTGCCAAATGTAGATGAAGGCAAACTGTCCTACTCATCCAACTCCTGCTCACTCGCTCACTCTTTTCTTGTCTCTCTCACTCTCTTTGAACTCCAAATGCTATCACACCTGACAAATTACTTCTTGATTTCCTGCCATAAATACCTCAAATAACCTGTGTTTCCCCACCTCACCCCCCCTTCCCTGACAGCGTTCAGTGTCTATAAATCTATTCACAACACCCTGAAGAAGCAAAGGGCAGTAGCAGGGCTTACCGACAGCCATCATGTAGTCCCAGCGATCCAGCAGGCACATGCTGAACTGCAGCCCGTCTGGAGTGTAGCCCACGTCGATCAGAGCCAACTTCCTGTCCGGGTTCTGACAGACGGCAGATGTCCAAGCCACCAGGAACCAGCAGACGATGAGCAGGATGATGCCCAGCAGACGCAACACTCGCCAGCTTGTCATATAGGGGATTCTCTGAGCTGTACGGGACAGGAACACCTTCAGCACCCTGTGGGGGCATAATGAGACGCTCACTTTAAGAACAGTATAAAAAATAATATGGTCATTATTATAGATTGTGGCAGAATCATTTCAACTGTAAGGACAGCATCAATTAGGGAAAAATGTCACCCTTACTTCTGCTTGAGGCCTGCTTGTCTTACATGTCGCAGAATCTTTAGTCTTCAGTCTGAGCTGTAACCTGCTGCGGTCACTATGTGTAGGTAAACGGGATGACAGCGAAAACCAAGTGCTTGCGGGAAAGGGAAAGTTCCTGTGTCAAGTGAAAGCACTCAACTTTTCTTGCGGTTGCAGTGCATTCTCGTGTATTGTGTTTCTTTACAGCAAACAGTAACCCAAACCTTTAAAATGACCCATGTACTGTATATGTTTTCTGACTAGGACCTTTTGCTACTGATTTGTGTTTCAGAAGCAATATATAATGTGATGTCGTTATTTCTTTATGGCATGGAGGTAACACCTGAAACTATTGTTTGTATCCTGTTTTTTACCAACAGTCTACATTGGTTTCTTTTTTCCAGAACTTCAAGTCAGTCCTATCCCAGTGCTTTTTCTCAAATGTAAAATCTTAAAGTCTCACTGTGTGAAGCTAACTGAAATAATTTCTATGTAAGGTAATGCAAAGGTAGGATTTTATGTGGTACAAAAAAAAGGGTCTGAATTAGACAGAAACACAAAGAAACTCTATTTAATGACGATCGGTCCCTTCATGGCCAAAACCTTCCGAAATGGCGCTGAGAGGCGTGTTGGATCACACATCGGTACATCCCTATCCCTAACTGTGATGAAGTGGTTCTCTTTTGGCTACTATCTTTCTCTAACCATAACCAAGTAGTTTTCCTGCCCTAAAAGAAAAACAGCTTTAAAATAGAAGTGGCACATCAAAAAATTGTCACATAAAATATGTGCCAGATTAAACAATACTCATATTTTTATAATGAAAAATGACCCACTTTGTCGTTCAGTTAGGAAGACTTATTGGAAACTCTCATCGCAGCGTGATGTTGGACGGTCTATGTGTTTAGCAGTGATCATATGTAATAATGATAATGGAAACAGACGCCCAGAAGTACAGGAAACATGTCCTATAGCTGTTTTTGATGTCTTCTTTTTTCTTTAGGTTGGATATAATGCAACACAGCAGAAGTCTTCATCTCTGTTATGCATCATTATTCAGTCCATTTCTACACAACATTATGTAGCTTTAAATTAAAAAAGGCCGTGCAACAGGAATTAAATTGAGCTCAAACACATAACCTAAGCCCAAGAACAGCCATTGCTATTCTTAGGCTCTGCCCTTCACGCACATTGATGAAGTGTCCACTGCGCTCCCCACTAACGAGGCCCCCATCAAAAATTGATCTGTGCAATATGTTAACTCGCACCTCTAAGGATTAACCTGGCTCACACTCACATGAGCCACATCCTCTTAATCAGCATCTTCATTAAGCCTTTTTGACAGATTCACCTGACAAAAAAAGCTCCACAGATGAACAATTTCAAGTGCATTACTTGAAATACAGCAGACCCCTTGTCTCATTATCAGCTATTCAGTACTGGATAACCACCCTCGCATCTCTCCCTCCCTGTGTCCTCCGGCAGTCCTTTCCCTTCCTCTGATCTCACACACACACATTTGTGTATTGGTTTGTCTCTTGCCAACCATCATTCAATATATAGAGAGATCATTTGGGACCAAAGCACCCCGTGATTTCTTAATTACTTTTACTTGGCTTTCCCTTTTCCATTTAATGGGGCTATGAATCCACCCCTAAACATGTACGGCAGTGTAGTCTGGTGACGAGTTAGCCAAGAAACACTTCATAAGGCTCTTACTTTTACAAGGAATTAAGATGTAAGACGCAGTGTGATTGAACTTAAGGAAGTCAGTGTAATCCGATGGATGACTATGTTGGACAAATGTTTTTTGTGTAGACGTGTGTAATGTGTGTGCATTACCTGTACAACTTAAGAGTCAGTGTCCCATAGACGGTAGCAAAACCCAGCAGTCGAACCCATCGCAGCAGGATGCAGCGGAAAACGCTCGGCTGGAAATAGAGGATCCCAACCTGCAGGAGGACAGAAGAAGTTTAAAATAACATAGATTGTGTATACAAAGAAAGTAGGAAATAAGCAAGAGAGCTCCTAACTGTGAGTGTTTTCCATGCAGATGATAATGGGGCCTGTGAAAATTAAATACAAAGTCGTGGCAAGTTGCTGCCTCATTGTGCTCTCTTAACGTCTCATTTAAATGTTGGTTTGTTCCTGCTGTCCTCTTTTAACATCTGGGAAGTGCACACATAGAGCTCACATAGTTTAGCTTTCTGTATTACTACATAAAGTTGTGACTGAGCTCTGTCTCTACATAACATTTACAACTTTATGTCCATTGACCGCCTGCAGGGTAGCTAGTGTTTGGAAGGGAGAGGAGAAGTGTGTGCTGCAGCTCAGTGTTTTTTCACCGGTGTTTTTGAGGGCGTGTCGGACCAGCCGCTTGGCGAGCGTTATATGACGTGTATTTTGATCCCTGTGTCGTCACAGGGATCAAAGGGAAAAGGCTGGACTAAAAACGAGCTGTTTGGGCTTTTTCACTTTGCAAACCTATTACAGCCACAAAAAAGATATGTAACTGAAAAAAGGAGAGGAAAAAGCCAAAAAAGCATAACCTCTTTAACTAAGTACTTTACATTAAGTTTCAGTAAGTACATTATATTCAAATATGATGCCAACCCTGTCTTGTTCAAAAAGTTAGGGCGATAACACTGCTGGTTGGCTGGAGTTCAACTGAAAATTTGACCAACTATGCTAAAATAAAACAATAAACACTGAAAGTCAGAGGCACAATATGGTTTCCTGTCACAACAAGGATGAAATGCTGACAAAGGAGACCTGCACCTAACTGACGCTTTCATTTCCCATTCCCCAGGGCTGGCTGATATGGTTGAAAACAGGGTAGTATGTCAACTATAAACATGTAGTGGAGTCGTAAATCATCTGCCAGGGTTTCAGTTTAGAGAATCTGTCTTTACTCTTAATATGCACGCGGTGAGCTATACCCTCACATTAACTTACTGTACCTCACTGCATATCTGCTAAACTCACACTGCAATGGTGTTTCAAGTCCTTGCATAATACAAGAATAAAGCATTTTTACATATGTACAGTATGGTGCCTTCAAGGTAAGATTTAATGGATGAAAGGCTTAGAAAGACACATTTTACAATATTTACTGTAAATACTGTGAGTAGTACTTCTAATTCTACTTGCAGTACTGCTATAACTACAACTACTAATAATATTAATGGTGGTAAAACCCTATTTTAGAGTCCTTTTCACAAGCAATACATCAAAGAAAACATTCAAGAACTGTCATTTTACAACCATCCTTGGCATTACTCAAAAAATCCATCTGAGCCTGCTAACATCATGCAAAGCTTGCCCTTGAGACAAGGAGGAGGGCATCCACCCATGTTCGCTACAAAGACCTAGAAACACACTGAAACGGTGCCCATCCAAGCCGACAAAAAAAAAAACAGACCGATGGTCTTCCAAAGCGACAAAACAAAAAGGGAAGAAACATCTGAGGCAACATAATTATCTGTCCGCTGCAGATGTGCAGCGATTTCCCCTGCGGAATTGTTAATGTTAATCGGATTAGCCAAGGCATTATAACGTTCCCTCAGGCTGAGGAGAAGACACAGGCATGTGGATATTTTTGCTCACTAGGTTTGAGTCAGTCAGGGGACACGGAGGACCCCATGGGAAGAAGGGTGGCCCACATCCTCATCTGCTCACAGAGGCTGGCCGGCCAAACACACAAACTTCTGACTCAAACAAAGCTTGCTCCAGTTGACTCAGCTTTGCAAAGGGAACGTGACACAGAGCAAATAATGAATAGATGAGCGCTCAGTTGTTAATCTTAAATGCATACAGGGTGTTTCGTGCTAAATTTCATTCTAGGCTGGATGGAAAAGCCTGAAACTACATTTTAAACTATCGACACCAAATCTCACCTTTACGAGTGAGATTAAAGAAAATATGAAAATAACAATGCTTCTTTATTTTTTAATAACGAGGAGAGGCACAGGAGCCAATGAAGAGATAACAGGCTGGGCAGACACTGAGCAACTTGCTGACGCACGTTTAGGTCCACAGGGACACAAGAGGGCACAGGAAGATGAGTAAAAATGCACCGGGGGAAAACACAGCTCACGAATCCTTTTTAGAAAAACTACAAAACAGAAGCTGGATCTCTGTCACGTGCCAGTTTAAGGCTGGTGTTGTTTGTGATGAGATAGAGGTGGGGAGGTGTTATCAGCACCACTGCTCCCTCGAGGGCCGACTCCAACTGATCTGAATGAGTTGTCATAAAAAAAACAACTTTTTAACTCATTTAGCAGTTTAAGCTTCTCTTTTCATGGTGTGATCTCCCCTACTGTTCCTTTTCACTGCTCAAAACCACAATGGAAAAGCTTTCGAGTTAGTTGTGTAAGGTTCACATTTGCTAAAAGCTGACCAAACTGTGACAGTAAAGTTGGTAATTACAAAAAATTCTGTCTGTCCGCCACTATGTTCCAGACTGAACCATATAGACTGGATCGATTTCTATGAAATTCATGGTCCACTGAGGATGAATCCTAAAGACTTTGGTGATCCCTGATTTTAACTCCACTACAAGTGTAAGGTTGATATTTTTGCTTCAGAGTGAAATGTTTCAAAATGGATTGCCAATTGAATTTGGTTCAGAGACTCTTATCCTCTCAGTATGAACTTTGGTGATTCCCTGACTTGTCCTCTACCGCCATTGAGTGTCCCAATATTTTAGCACTTCTCTGGCAAATGTTATCACATTATATCAACACGATAAGCTAAGATGTTGAACATTGTAAACATTATTAAACCTCAGCATCTTAGCGTTGTCACTGTGAGCATGTACAGCAGCTATGCTGACATTAGCTTTAGGCTCAAAGCATGGCTGTGACTGAAGAGTCATGCAATCAGATGTTAACATCTGTATTTTACGTCAAGGAGTTATATTTCAAGTGGGGATTGGAAGCCCACATGGAGTCTTCTAAAACTTATGGGGTGATGGAAGATTTCTATGTAGATTTCTGATCTATATATATATATCTTTTAAGAATTATTGAAAGCACAATACAAGTTAGTTTAGTAAGTCAGATTTAAATGAACACTTGACACATTTCAGCAACTCAGCAAGAGCTGAAATGAGAATTATGGGACCGGAAGTGGTTGAGAAACTCCTTAACATTATTAACATATTCCTGTTGCTATCCACTGTCCTATCTATCAAAAAAAGGCAAAATGCCCCCAAAGGTATCTTTTAAAAAAAGAAAACGAGTAAGAAGGTGGTGTAGGTGGACAGGTGGGCCAGAAACCAGACTTTCAACCAGGAGACCGGTGTTGGTTCCCCGTGTGAAGCAAAAAGTCAACAGTGAATGTTTTTATGAGTAACGCAAGTAATGTTACTTTATTTATGTAAGTTTAGTCATGTATATAATATTGTTATTTCAAGCCAAACCATGACCTTTTCTTAACCGTAGTCTTTGTTGCCTAAACTTAACCAAATTGTGCCGTTTCACAACGTTAAGAACTAGTAAATAAATAAAGTAACCTTCTAATTAAGTACCTTGAATGTTTTACTAGACATTGCATATTTATTGTTGCTTACTTGACCGCGGAGCCCTAAACGTCCACAAATTATGCTAAGTCTTGACCAAGCATTCATATGTGACAAGTTTGGAGTGAGAATGTGTTGCTAACAAAGACACACTGTCACTTTCAACAAACTACTCAGCAGCTCGCTTGGAGAAAAGCATTTTCAGGCAGCCTCTACGCTGTGATTTGTTGCCATCTGCGTTTGCCTGAATTATGCAAACTGAAGTGTTTACCTCTTGGGACAGGTGACAAAAAATGCCAAATATGCTTGGTTTCCATCTCAAACCAAACACTGAAGTTTCTGATAATCACTTAAAAAATATTACAGAATATGATGAGGCTCAAATTTACTTCTAGTGCTCACTGTAACACAAAACCAACAATCAATTCCCCCTGGACTCTCACCTATCCCCAGTTCATCTGATACAATAAGGTATATCCTCATCCCCCAGTGTCCTCACTGATGCTTGGACCAATGTCAATACTCATTTTAGGGCAAAAACAAGCGTAGTCATTGTCCTCAAACATTGCCATGACCCCATGACCACACAGTGCTGAGCAGAAATTCATTATACAAGCAATGCACTTTCTATCGGTAGGGTTTCTGGGAAGAGACTGGCCCTCAACCTCCGACAGGTTTCTCTTATCGCCTGTGTGCATAAAGAGTGAGATCAGATTCTCTTTTGAAACCTGCCATTAATAATCAATGCTAAGTGCTGGGAATCTTAGATTCAGCGCTGTGGGAAAGGAAAGGGATCGGGTGTTATTCACAAACGCATGTGTGTAGGTGCATGCAAGTGTGTGTGTGAAGGCATTGAGAGGATCGGGGTGCTGTATTCCTATCTAATGCACATCAATATCGAGGAGACAATTATCAACACACTTACTACTCTTCAAACCCCCCCTCCTCTCATTTGTCTCATCTACGTGAGTAAAGGCTTCTAGAAATGCTGAGTGAGCGTTGCCAACATCTGGCAGCCCTCTTAGTGGCCGACGTTTTAAATGTGATGATTAATCTACATTTCAACAATATCAGATCAGTGATGGGTATCTTTTAAGAAAAGGGTTACAGTTATAGTGAAGTTCTTTAAGGTGTCCCTCTGCTCAGGTGGCATAGATTTCATAAATGGTACTGGGGATATTTTTAGGAAATATCTAGGGTTATATTTTAGTATCAGGCAGGCGGGTGAACATGTCCCAGCTGATGTCTTCCCTGATGAAGACGTTCATCTGCCGGCCTGGTCTCAAGGCTCCCCAGACACCTGACTTAACGCAACCTGGTTCTGCATCTGCCCTCCAAACGAAGCCTTGTCATGTGGAAGCTACAAAACAGAACAGTGTGTTCTGCAGACGCACACCTGAGAAGCTTAATATTTAGCTTCCATAGGCAGAT